ATGGTATAGATAAATACTTTATTGTTGGAGTCGTGTCCAGCAGCAGAAAACTCCTCCAGGTTTGTGGTACAGTCTGACAGCCGAAGGAACAAAGTATCTGTGAAACCGTTCCGTTCGGCAGCGCAGTGATATGAGACTGTTGCTACGGTTACTCCTCCTTGATAATGATTCAACTCCACGCACTCAATTTCTCAGCATTTGAACGTACGATCTGAGACTGGGTTTATGTGTGAAGGGTTTGACAGCCGCACCTGTGTGTTCTTTCTCTTTGACATATTATAACTATAAATGGACAGTCGGTTATTTTAATTTTTTATATAATTTAGACAAGATCCATAGCCCAGAATAATGAAAGAAGATAAGAAAACTATGTGCAAGTTTGGCACCAATGTCCAGAGATATGACCCAACCATATACTAGACGTTTGTAGACATGCTTTTCTCAGTCTTTAGTCTATAACATGTGTGTGATCAGTGGAAACGCGGTAAATACGCTGCTCACTTCTCTCATTGAGGTTCCTGCGCTGCTGCAAAAGGCCGTTAAAGCCGTTTGTATCGTGTCCACAGGGAATGTCCCACTTCTGCAGCCAGTGTTATTTCTGTCTGGTATCAGTCTGGGTGTTCTGAATCATGAGATTAATCACGGCGAAGTAATTCTTTCCTGCTCTTGCGCTGCCGTTTAAACAGTGATTTCATAAGCCCATAGGTAGAATGCTTCGGATGCCAGTCATTTCCCGGTCGCTGGTTCAGACCCAGTTGTGTGCATTAAAGAAGCTGTCGAGACCTCTGTAATGCAGCGCGGCCTGTTCCACTACCTCCTGACGCTGTTTAGGCCACGTCTGGACATGTTTATTCACATTTCTCTCCAACTTCTTTAACTCATTGACTGCCCTTCACGTATTTGTCTGAGAGCGGTGATTTCTGTAAAAACTTCCTTCTAGGCGACTGGGGATTACAGGAGAATAAAACTAGCAGGAAACAAACTTATTTTTGCTGTTGGAAGTAGACAATCCAGTCTCTCAGAATCTGGTTTCATATTTCACATCGTCATAGCACATAATATTCTGTGGGTTGAGATTCAGTGAAATCATCAAAAATGGCTGGCAGTCAATGAGTTAAAGGAGCAGTGTGTAAACATGTGGCCAGAAGTGGTACTGCAGCCTCTCCCACTCTCCCTGACTCAGGTTGCCAGATATGCAGACGAATCCAGCTGGGACCATAACAGCTGAATAGACAAGAGTTTAGTCAACAACAAATCTATAACCAACACCTTTTTCACAAAGATAGAAATCCTGGTTTTATTCCTTGTTTTGTCGATAATGATTTGAGAATCATAACGAGACCTTTTTTAGTTCTGCGCCACATGGTACTTTACTAGTGAAATTAGCTCCACGCGGTGAGTTCTGGCGCCCGGATCACAGATTTTCTGATTGGTGAAACGGTGGAGGGCGGCACGGTGGCTGAGTGGATAGCACTCTCGCCTCTCAGCAAGAAGGTCCTGGGTTCGAATCCCGGTCGGACCAGGGCCTTTCTGAGTGGAGTTTGCATGTTCTCCCCGTGTCTGCGTAGGTTTCCTCCGGGTACTCCGGTTTCCCCTACCACTAAAAATATGTCCAATAGTTCTAGCATGTGCCTCCTGTACTGGCGACCCCGCTCCCATCTCTGTGTGGAGTGAGAGACAAATGCCCAAAAATTAACAATTGTAAACCGCTTTGAGACTCAGCTCTGCAGTGAAAAGGCGGTATATAAATAAAGATGACTTACTTACTTACATCGAAATGAAAACAATAACAAGAAATAGGGGCTGGAAAAGTAATTTAGAAATTGAAATATCTCTGAACGACTTATCAGGTCCTATATCACGCTTTTCTTCATGTTTCACACTCAATCCTATACACGTGTGATATTAATGTGTGTGATACACCACACAACAATCAAAGCTTGTGAGATTAGAGCCATCTCTTGTATAGAGGTGACGTCACCTCGACTCAAACGAGCTGATCCAGAGTCTGCTCCTCCCTGTGAGCCCGCCTCCCCCCGCCCTCACCCGCCTCCCCCCGCCCTCACCCGCCTCCCCCCGCCCGCACGCTGACGTAGCATCACGCTTTTGTCGTTTATCACCTGCACTTAGTAATTTCATACATAAGAATATACTTTTTCCAACAATGACAATCCGTCACATCGAGCCCTATGTCCTCGATGCACAATCAGACCCTAGTTATTTAGTTTACAGAAGTATACAGCGAGTTAGCGTCACTACTTACAGATCGAGGGGGTCCGAGTTACGTCTTTTACCGTGGGAATAATGTGTTTCCAGATCAGCCTTTGAGTAAGTCCAGTTCCATTGTCCCTGTAGTTCTGGAACAGTCTCAGTGAAGTGTCGCAGATGAACCAGTATTATAATAGATCCATGAAATGAACAGATGAAAAAAGTCGAGCCGCTTTCTTCCTCTTCGGGCCAAATAGTGTGTCACATATTTACACCCATAACACACTTCATTCAAGTTGACGTGATCCTAACACTTTTAGTTGCTGACAAAAGCATAAAAACAGCAGCTCTATGTGGTGTCCGCGAGACCAGACCACAGACGCTGGACTCGGGAACCGGAGCCTGTGCGCTCTGATTCGCTGTTTTGATCCGTCAATTACCTCCCGCCGGCTTTTAATTTATTTTTATTTGTATTATTTTTGACAAAAAACAGCATACTAATTGTGTATTGTTTACCCCGTTTTGACAAAAGTATTTAACAACTATTTTAAATACAAAGCAAACGGGGTCATGCGCGTCATCAGTGTGGTTTTCGTCACTGAAGTGGACCCGAGCGTTTCTGTGCCTCACGCTGGGGAAGGAGACGGATTGATTCTATCAATCTTTTGTAAGAGAACAATGAATAAACTACTGTGGGCTTGTGTATGAAGGCCAAATAGAATTGTAATCATGTTTAAAGCAGAGAAAAGTCAAAAACCGTGATATGGGCCCTTTAAAGAAGTATTGGAAAAGAACAATTTATTATTATGACAGATTAGGGCCCTTTAATGATGACAGATTAGGGCCCTTTAATGATGACAGATTAGGGCCTTTTAATTATGACAGATTAGGGCCTTTTAATGATGACATATAAGGGCCCTTTAATGATGACATATAAGGGCCCTTTAATGATGACAGATTAAGGCCCTTTAACGATAACAGATTAAGGCCCTTTAACAATGACAGATTAGGGCCCTTTAACGATGACAGATTAGGGCCCTTTAACGATGACGGATTAGGGCCCTTTAACAATGACAGATTAGGGCCCTTTGATGATGACAGATTAGGGCCCTTTGATGACGACAGATTAGGGCCCTTTGATGACAACAGATTAGGGCCCTTCAATGATGACAGATTAGGGCCCTTTGACGATGACAGATTAGGGCCCTTTAACGATGACAGATTAGTGCCCTTTAACGATGACAGATTAGGGCCCTTTAATGACGACAGATTAGGGCCCTTTAATGATGACAGATTAGGGCCCTTTAATGACAACAGATTAGGGCCCTTTAATGACGACAGATTAGGGCCCTTTAACGACGACAGATTAGGGCCCTTTAATGACGACAGATTAGGGCCCTTCAATGATGACAGATTAGGGCCCTTTGACGATGACAGATTAGGGCCCTTTAACGATGACAGATTAGTGCCCTTTAACGATGAAAGATTAGGGCCCTTTAACGATGACGGATTAGGGCCCTTTAACGATGACAGATTAGGGCCCTTTAATGACGACAGATTAGGGCCCTTTAATGATGACAGATTAGGGCCCTTTAATGACAACAGATTAGGGCCCTTTAATGACGACAGATTAGGGCCCTTTAACGACGACAGATTAGGGCCCTTTAATGACGACAGATTAGGGCCCTTTAACGGCGACAGATTAGGGCCCTTTAATGATGACTGGACATATTGCTTCTTTAACTCTTCTTGAGGCTGGGAATCGTGTGACTCGACTGAAACATGCCACAGCACTTTGTTAAATTCAGATGAAGGACATTGACCTGTGTTTCTGATAAGGCCTTTCCACACACGTACAGGACAGTTTCTCATTAACCAACCTCCAGATGCTTCCGGATCTGTAAATTCTGAACTGCACATTGTCCCACAAAGGATACATTCATGGACAAAATGGAGGTAGATGAGTAATGAGATATTGTATTTGTGTTGTTTGTACTTTTCTCTTTTAATGGGTAAAAACGGGTATTTACTTGTTTGCATTGAACCAAAAAAGACAAAAAAAAGTCTTGCTGATCCTGATTTGAGTCAAAATGAAACCACAAACGTAAATCCAGCTATGTTTATTGTTTTTTGTCTTGTAAACGTTATTTTCTTAAAGGTATTTTAATAAAAATCATGAGAATATTTAACATTATAATATGATTTGTGATGACTTTTCATGAATCATTTCCTTGTTTTGGTTTTACTAGAAACAAACTTATTGTTGCTGATGAAAGTAGACAGTTCGGTCTTTCAGAATCTGGTTTCATATTTCACATAGTCAAAGCACACAATATTCTGTGGGTCTTGAAAGTCAGTGAAATCATTAAAAACGGCTGGCAGTCAAGGAGATAAAAACCTACACAGGCACGGGGAGAACATGCAAACTCCACTCAGAAAGACCCTGTTCCGACTGGGATTCAAACCCAGGACCCTTCTTGCTGAGAGGCGAGAGTGCTATCCACTCAGCCACCGTGCCGCTCTGTGGCTTTTCTCAAGAAAGTGGGGGCCAGTGGTCCGCTGTGATTGGTCACAATCTGGTCCCGAAACAAATTCTCTTCAGCGTTGCACAAAAACCCAATCTAAAATAAAATGAAAGCAGTACAAGCCAGCGCTACTTATTCTTCAAAATGACGGTTATCCCAAAGCACTGCATGGATATGGATTGGATTTTCCTAATGAATGCAATTATAAAGTGATGTAGTGCAGCTTTAATTCAGACTTTGACTCTAACTCAGATGTTGTCGTTGCAGGCGGACATCAGACCGACTGTGGCCTAGTCTCGGTGCTGACATGAAGAGGTTCAGACGACACGGCCACGAGTCCCAACGAGATCGACTAAAACAGGAGCTTTTTCACTTCAATAAGGTGCGTTTTTAAACTCTGATAAACTGTATTTTAGTAACTTGCACTTTTATTATGTTTTTTTAGTAACTTGCCCTTTTCATTTGAACTGTATATTTTTGTTATGTAAGTTATAAGAAGGTATTGTAAGGACCACAAGTGGAAAGAATCTGCTGCAGCATCTTTTTAATGCAACTGTACCTGTGATACTATTTAATGACATTTGTGGTTTCTGCGCAGACTGTGGAGCATGGGTTTCCTCACCAGCCCAGCGCCCTCGGGTACAGCCCCTCCCTGCAGCTGCTCGCCATTGGCACCCGCTCCGGAGCCATCAAACTGTATCCTCTGTCGTGATCATAAATGTGTGTAGAAATATCATAATAAGGGCCCTAATCTGTCCTCATTAAAGGGCCCTAATCTGTCATCATTAAAGGGCCCTAATTTGTCGTCATTAAAGGGCCCTAATTTGTTGTCATTAAAGGGCCCTAATCTGTCGTCATTAAAGGGCCCTAATCTGTCGTCAAAAAAGGGCCCTAATCTGTCGTCATTAAAGGGCCCTAATCTGTAATTAAAGGGCCCTAATCTGTCGTCATTAAAGGGCCCTAATCTGTTGTCATTAAAGGGCCCAAATCTGTCGTCCTTAAAGGGCTTTAATCGGTCATCATTAAAGGGCCCTGATCTGTCGTTATTAAAGGGCCCTAATCTGTCGTCATTAAAGGGCCCTAATCTGTCGTCATTAAAGGGCCCTAATCTGTCGTCTTTAAAGGGCCCTAATCTGTCATTAAAGGGCCCTAATCTTTCGTCATTAAAGGGCCCTAATCTGTCGTCATTAAAGGGCCCTAATCTGTTGTCATTAAAGGGCCCTAATCTGTCATCATTAAAGGGCCCTAATCGGTCGTCATTAAAGGGCCCTAATCGGTCGTCATTAAAGGGCCCTAATCTGTCGTCATTAAAGGGCCCTAATCTGTCGTAATTAAAGGGCCCTAATCTGCCGTAATTAAAGGGCCCTAATCTGTCATAATAATAAACTGCTCTTTTCCAATACTTCTTTAACTGATAACAGTAGTTCAGAGATATTTGAATTTCAAAATTTCCAGCCCCTAAATCTTGTTATCGTTTTCATTTCGATGTCCCGCCCTCCACCGTTTCACCAATCAGAAAGTCTGTGATCCGGGCGCCAGAACTCACCGCTAACCTCACTGGTAAAGTACCATGTGGTGCAGAACTAAAAAAGGTCTCGTTATGATTCTCAAATCATTAACGACAAAACCAGGAATAAAACCAGGATTTCTATCTTTGTGAAAAAGGTGTTGGTTATAGATTATTTGTTGACAAAACTCTTGTCTATTCAGCTGTTATGGTCCCAGCTGGATTCGTCTGCATATCTGGCAACCTGAGTCAGGGAGAGTGGGAGAGTCAGGCTTCATTGTGTGGTCAAGTATATAATTTATAATTTGTGAATGTCAAATGTTTTCTTATTTTCTGCTGATGGCCGAAGAATAAACAAATATATAAGTCCTTATCCAGAGTCCAGGTTCGGAGCCCCTGGAGTGGAGTTTATGGGTTTACATGACGAGAGCGCAGCAGTGACTCAGGTCCACTTCCTCCCGCACCAGGTCAGGACGTCGCACATGTATGTTGTATGTTTCTGTGTGACCAGAGAAACTTCATCTGATGGTTTGTGTCCAGGTGGAGCTGGTCACGCTGCTGGATGACAACAGTTTGCACATGTGGACGTTACAGGCGCACAAAGGCCTCTCGGAGCTGCTGGAGATCGGGCGCTTCACTCTGACTGGACCTCCCGGGTAAAAGTCTACACTGTTTAAACTAATTCTATATTCATTGATAATTAAAGATGCAGTCAGTGATTTTTTTCCAGACAAATATTTTTAAATATTGTGTGAAAACGTCCCTAAACCTAAAAGTATCAAGTTATAAAAATAACTTTGTGTTCAGAGCCCTCCCACATGTGACCAGAGTGACCGCTGTGCTTCCCCACTCGTCCGGGGAGCTGCTGCTGTTGGGGACAGAAGGAGGTCATGTGTTTATCGTGGAGGTCCCTGGTTTCAGAGAGCTGGAGGAGCGAAACATCAGCCTGGACCAGGTGCAGACCAGGTGGGTTTCACATTGTGACGTTTAGACATGGTAGCATCCCTTGTACTTTTTGTGACTGTGCTGCAGCAAGCAATAACAATGCACAGGTTTATACAGGGCTTTTCTGGACACTCAGTCTCTTCACATTATTATTCATTCTCACCAAACCACAGCTGCCCTGGGGCACACTGACAGAAGCGAGGCAACCAGTCTGTGCCATCGGCCCCTCCCACCACCACCAACCAGTCACACACACACCAGTAGGGCTGCACGATACATTAAAAAAATATCGTTATCGCGATATTGGTTAGTGCAAAATCCATATCAAAAATATGTGTGATTTTTTAATTTATTTATTTATTAAAGACAACAAAACAGACAGATCAACATACAACAAACAAAAAGTATAATTATATGCATTTGAATGTCATTAATTTTGTTATTTGTCTCTTGCGTTTATTGTTGTGATTATATGTGTTTTGTGTTTTTTGTGTGTTTTGTGTTTTTTGTGTGTTTTGTGTTTTTTGTGTGTTTGTCTTATCCTGGACCTTGAGTCTGTAATAAAGTTTGATGATGATGATGAATGCAGATTGCAATTTTAGGTGAAATTCAAAAATAACGCAATAATATCGTAATCGCAATAATATCGTTATCGCAATAATATCGTTATCGCAATAATATCGTTATCGCAATACTAAACACTTATCAAATATCGCTCTAATTTCCAAAACCGTGCAGCCCTACACACCAGACTCATTCTAATGTGGGGGAAGTGTCTTGCCTAAGGACACAACCACAGTTTTGCACTTTACAGCCGCAGCCGCCCCACTGTGGCACCTGTCGTTCCCAGAGGTGAAGTGTCTTGCCCAAGGACACAACAGACAGCAGAGACCGACTCGACGTGTTTCTCATTGACACTTATATACAGCCATTGTGATCTTTTGTGAGTTGTTTTCTGTTTTTCCTTCTCCTTGAAGCGTCCCTGAAGACTACATCGGCCGCAGAAACCTGGAGCACGTGGAGGCGCTGCAGGAGAGCCCCGTGGACTCCAACCAGGTGGTGATCGGGTACGGGCGTGGCCTGATGGTGGTGTGGGACCTGGACAAGCACCAAGCTCTGCAGCACATCCCAGCGACACAGGTGAGCCCCACGGCAGCCTGCGTTTATGTCTGCTGAAGATGAAGATTAGGATTAAGAGATACTTTACACAGGTGAGCCCCACGGCAGCCTGCGTTTATGTCTGCTGAAGATGAAGATTAGGATTAAGAGATACTTTACACAGGTGAGCCCCACGGCAGCCTGCGTTTATGTCTGCTGAAGATGAAGATTAGGATTAAGAGATACTTTACACAGGTGAGCCCCACGGCAGCCTGCGTTTATGTCTGCTGAAGATTAAGATTAGGATTAAGAGATACTTTACACAGGTGAGCCCCACGGCAGCCTGCGTTTATGTCTGCTGAAGATGAAGATTAGGATTAAGAGATACTTTACACAGGTGAGCCCCACGGCAGCCTGCGTTTATGTCTGCTGAAGATGAAGATTAGGATTAAGAGATACTTTACACAGGTGAGCCCCACGGCAGCCTGCGTTTATGTCTGCTGAAGATGAAGATTAGGATTAAGAGATACTTTACACAGGTGAGCCCCACGGCAGCCTGCGTTTATGTCTGTTGAAGATCAAGATTAGGATTAAGAGATACTTTACACAGGTGAGCCCCACGGCAGCCTGCGTTTATGTCTGCTGAAGATGAAGATTAAGAGATACTTTACACAGGTGAGCCCCACGGCAGCCTGCGTTTATGTCTGCTGAAGATGAAGATTAGGATTAAGAGATACTTTACACAGGTGAGCCCCACGGCAGCCTGCGTTTATGTCTGCTGAAGATGAAGATTAGGATTAAGAGATACTTTACACAGGTGAGCCCCACGGCAGCCTGCGTTTATGTCTGCTGAAGATGAAGATTAGGATTAAGAGATACTTTACACAGGTGAGCCCCACGGCAGCCTGCGTTTATGTCTGTTGAAGATCAAGATTAGGATTAAGAGATACTTTACACAGGTGAGCCCCACGGCAGTCTGCGTTTATGTCTGCTGAAGATGAAGATTAAGAGATACTTTACACAGGTGAGCCCCACGGCAGCCTGCGTTTATGTCTGCTGAAGATGAAGATTAGGATTAAGAGATACTTTACACAGGTGAGCCCCACGGCAGCCTGCGTTTATGTCTGCTGAAGATGAAGATTAGGATTAAGAGATACTTTACACAGGTGAGCCCCACGGCAGCCTGCGTTTATGTCTGCTGAAGATGAAGATTAGGATTAAGAGATACTTTACACAGGTGAGCCCCACGGCAGCCTGCGTTTATGTCTGCTGAAGATCAAGATTAGGATTAAGAGATACTTTACACAGGTGAGCCCCACGGCAGCCTGCGTTTATGTCTGTTGAAGATCAAGATTAGGATTAAGAGATACTTTACACAGGTGAGCCCCACGGCAGCCTGCGTTTATGTCTGCTGAAGATTAAGATTAGGATTAAGAGATACTTTACACAGGTGAGCCCCACGGCAGCCTGCGTTTATGTCTGTTGAAGATCAAGATTAGGATTAAGAGATACTTTACACAGGTGAGCCCCACGGCAGCCTGCGTTTATGTCTTCTTAAGATTAAAATTAGGATTAAGAAATACTTTACACAGGTGAGCCCCACGGCAGCCTGCGTTTATGTCTGCTGAAGATTAAGATTAGGATTAAGAGATACTTTACACAGGTGAGTCCCATGGCAGCCTGCGTTTATGTCTGCTGAAGATTAAGATTAGGATTAAGAGATACTTTACACAGGTGAGCCCCACGGCAGCCTGCGTTTATGCCTGCTGAAGATTAAGATTAGGATTAAGAGATACTTTACACAGGTGAGCCCCACGGCAGCCTGCGTTTATGTCTTCTGAAGATTAAGATTAGGATTAAGAGATACTTTACACAGGTGAGCCCCACGGCAGCCTGCGTTTATGTCTGCTGAAGATTAAGATTAGGATTAAGAGATACTTTACACAGGTGAGCCCCACGGCAGCCTGCGTTTATGTCTGCTGAAGATTAAGATTAGGATTAAGAGATACTTTACACAGGTGAGCCCCACGGCAGCCTGCGTTTATGTCTGCTGAAGATTAAGATTAGGATTAAGAGATACTTTACACAGGTGAGCCCCACGGCAGCCTGCGTTTATGTCTGCTGAAGATTAAGATTAGGATTAAGAGATACTTTACACAGGTGAGCCCCACGGCAGCCTGCGTTTATGTCTGATGAAGATTAAGATTAGGATTAAGAGATACTTTACACAGGTGAGCCCCACGGCAGCCTGCGTTTATGTCTGTTGAAGATTGAGATTAGGATTAAGAGATACTTTACACAGGTGAGCCCCACGGCAGCCTGCGTTTATGTCTTCTGAAGATTAAGATTAGGATTAAGAGATACTTTACACAGGTGAGCCCCACGGCAGCCTGCGTTTATGTCTGCTGAAGATTAAGATTAGGATTAAGAGATACTTTATAGCGGGGGAAATGTCAGTGTTGCATCCCAAGTTACAGAACAGTAGGTCTGAGGAGCACACAGCACAAGATAAATGAATAATTACTATGCTAATTACAATAAAATATCTGACTCTAGCATCAAAGACACATTTACAATATCTGTACTTGCTTCTTATTTTGCCAAAATGTAAAGTACTGTCTATTCTGGTCCAAGCAATATGTAGTTATACGTTAGCAGCAGTATGTTAGCATCTGTACATGTTAGCAGCAGTATGTTAGCATCTGTACATGTTAGCAGCAGTATGTTAGCATCTGTACATGTTAGCAGCAGTATGTTAGCATCTGTACATGTTAGCAGCAGTACTTTGAGAGAGACGTCCTGCTGTCACTGTTAGTATCTCAATATGTACAGCATGATCCTGGAGTTTTTACTTTCATATTTGGATATCGAGAATAACTCTTGATGCAAAGTGATTGAAATCAGTTGCGAGTGACTTCCTGTTATTGACTCAAAATCAGCCTGCTGTCCATGACTCTCTGGATAAACCACGAGGACCTTTGTCATTCAAAACAAAATAGCAATATCTTTGAGTAGGAAATTGTCCTGGTCTAGTCCTGGTCTAGTCCTGGGTCCAGTCCTGGTCTAGTCCTGGTCTAGTCCTGGTCTAGTCCTGGTCTAGTCCTGGTCTAGTCCTGGTCTAGTCCTGGTCTAGTCCTGGTCTAGTCCTGGTCTAGTCCTGGTCTAGTCCTGATCTAGTCCTGGTCCAGTCCTGGGTCCAGTCCTGGTCTAGTCCTGGTCTAGTCCTGGTTTAGTCCTGGGTCCTGGGTCTAGTCCTGGTCTAGTCCTGGTCCAGTCCTGGGTCCAGTCCTGGGCTAGTCCTGGTCTAGTCCTGGTCTAGTCCTGGGCTAGTCCTGGGCTAGTCCTGGGCTAGTCTTGGTCTTTTCCTATCTTTGAGTAGGAAATTGGTCCTCAGAATATTGCATGAAACGGAAACCCATGTAAACAGCTGGAGGAAGTTTATTCTCTGTTAGTCCTCTCATGTCTGCTGTGTGTTATGAGTGTATTAGAAAGAGTCCTGGTCTAGTCCTGGTCTAGTCCTGGTCTAGTCCTGGTCTAGTCCTGGTCTAGTCCTGGTTTAGTCCTGGTTTAGTCCTGGTCTAGTCCTGGTCTAGTCCTCTGTTGTGTGCAGGTAACCAAAGTTTGGTGACGTCTCTGTTAGTCCACTCATGTCTGCTGTGTGTTATGAGTGTATTAGAAACATTAGTCCACTTCTGTCTGTTGTGTGTTACGAGTGTATTAGAAACATTAGTCCACTCCTGTCTGCTGTGTGTTATGAGTGTATTAGAAAGAGTCCTGGTTTAGTCCTGGTCTAGTCCTGGTCTAGTCCTGGTTAGTCCACTCCTGTCTGCTGTGTGTTATGAGTGTATTAGAAACATTAGTCCACTCCTGTCTGCTGTGTGTTATGAGTGTATTAGAAAGAGTCCTGGTCTAGTCCTGGTCTAGTCCTGGTTAGTCCACTCCTATCTGCTGTGTGTTATGAGTGTATTAGAAACATTAGTCCACTCCTTTCTGCTGTGTGTTATGAGTGTATTAGAAAGAGTCCTGGTCTAGTCCTGGTCTAGTCCTGGTCTAGTCCTGGTTAGTCCACTCCTATCTGCTGTGTGTTATGAGTGTATTAGAAACATTAGTCCACTCCTTTCTGCTGTGTGTTATGAGTGTATTAGAAAGAGTCCTGGTCTAGTCCTGGTCTAGTCCTGGTTAGTCCACTCCTGTCTGCTGTGTGTTATGAGTGTATTAGAAACATTAGGTAACTGACAATGTGTGTATATGTATTTGTATTTGTATATATGTGAAACTCCGAAGTTTAGCAGGTTGTTCAAAAATTCATTTGTAAAGTGACGTATGCCAAGCCTTTGTAAAGGTCAAAGGGCAGTTGTATTTATCCCTGTAGGGTTAGCTTCACGGGCCATCCTCTGCATTTGACCCATCCTAAGACCGCTAAGGCCTCAGGATGGGTCAGGAGCAGTGGTCGCCGTAGTAACAGCGTCCGGGGACCCATCTCCAGTTGTTGATGCTCGGCTTGGTCAGGACCAGAGCTGGAGGATTTGACCTATTTTACAAGTTTTTAGTGGTAGGGAAAACCGGAGCACCTGGAGGAAACCTACGCAGACGCAGGGAGAACATGCAAACTCCACTCAGACAGCCCCTGTTCCGACCAGGCATTTTTTCAGCCTCTTAACAATAATTTTGATGATTTTAATACGTTTTTTTCTGTGTTTTTTAACCATGAGCCAATGATTAAAGACCTTATGCCGGGTTTGATTTATTTAGAAATACAGTTTTAATACCATTTTATATTAGAAGAGAACTACTATCCATCCATCCATCCATTTTCTTCCGCTTTATCCGTTGCCGGGTCGCGGGGGCAGCAGTCTAAGCAGAGACGCCCAGACTTCCCTATCCACACACACCTCCTCCAGCTCGTCCGGGGGGACTCCAAGGCGTTCCCAGGCCAGCTGAGAGACTCCCTCCAGCGTGTCCTGGGTCTTCCCCGGGGCCTCCTCCCGGTGGGACGTGCCCGGGACACCTCCCCAGGAAGGCGTCCAGGATGCATCCTGAACAGATGCCCGAGCCACCTCAACTGGTTCCTCTTGACGTGGAGAAGCAGCGGCTCTACTCCAAGCTCCTCCCGTGTGACTGAGCTCCTCACCCTATCTCTAAGGGAGCAGCCACTCTGCGGAGGAAGCTCATTTCGACCGCTTGTATCCGCGATCTCGTTCTTTCGGTCATTACCCAAAGCTCATGACCATAGGTGAGGGAGGGAACGAAGATTGACCGGTAAATCGAGAGCTTCGCCTTTCGGCTCAGCTCCCTCTTTACCACAACGGTCTGATACAGCTCTGACTGCAGACGCTGCTCCCTCTTCACCACAACGGTCCGATACAGCGACCGCATCACTGCGCACGCTGCACCGATCCGCCTGTCAATCTCACGCTCCATTCTCCCCTCACTCGTGAACAAGACCCCGAGATACTTGAACTCCTCCACTTGAGGAAGGACCTCTCCACCCACCTGTACAGGGCAAGGCACCTTTTTCCGGTCGAGCACCATGGCCTCGGATTTGGAGGTGCTGAGTCTCATCCCAGCCGCTTCACACTCGGCTGCAAACCGTCCCAGTGCATGCTGCAGGTCCTGGTTCGTTGGAGCCAGCAGGACGACATCATCCGCAAAAAGTAGAGATGAAATCCTGTGGTTCCCAAACCGGACCCCCTCCGGCCCCTGGCTGCGCCTAGAAATTCTGTCCATAAATACAGTGAACAGAACCGGTGACAAAGGGCAGCCCTGGCGGAGGCCAACATGCACCGGGAACAGGTCTGACTTACTGCCGGCAATGCGAACACAGCTCTGACTCCGGTCATACAGGGACCGGACGGCCCTCAGCAGAGGACCCCGGACCCCGTACTCCCGGAGGACCCCCCAAAGGACACCCCGGGGAACACGGTCGAACGCCTTCTCCAAATCCACAAAGCACATGTGGACAGGTTGGGCGAACTCCCATGAACCCTCGAGTATCCGATGGAGAGTATAGAGCTGGTCCAGTGTTCCGCGACCGGGACGAAAACCACACTGCTCCTCCTGAATCCGAGATTCGACCATCGGCCGTAGCCTCCTCTCCAGTACCTTGGAGATGACCTTACCGGGGGGTAGTGAGCAATTGTCACCTGTAGAGGGCAGTATTGTGTTGGGCATCAGTGGAGAGACGAGAGAAAAGGCAGTCCTGTGGCATAGATCCATGGTTTTCAATGCATGGGCGTTACCCGCTGTGACGTCACACACAGGTTAGAGCATAGACAACTTCAATTCATGAAAAACACGTTCTTTTTATAAAATATAGGATTTATTTTTGCCGGAATCTCTTTCAGATCGACACTGTCATGCAATTTTGATAGCCACAATTTTTTTTTTAAACCCGGCATAAAGTCTTTAACATTAGAACAAATACTTGATTTTTCTCACTTTGCTTGAACTGAACTTGTCAAAAATTGGTTTCACATTTTAAGTAGAATCACAAAAGTAAATGGACTTTTTCCACGATATCCCAATTTTCCAAATCTCACATGGTTTTGATCTCCGCAGCAACTGGAGAGTGTTTGGTGGACGGAGGACGGCGGCTACATCCTGAGCTCGCACAGTGACGGGAGCTACTGCCGCTGGATGGTTGGGAACACCGACCCCAACACGGAAGACGAAGAGAAGTCCGACATTCCCTACGGTCAGAGACGGCTCCTGGACTCTCTGTCTCAAGTCTTTCTCCTGCTCATGATGCCTTTTGTTACAGGACACTTCCCCTGCAAGGCCATCATCAAAATCATGCAGCTGCCAACGGAAGATGGGTGTGGCATTTCTCTATTTCGCCAAATCCTGGAGAAATTACAGGTTTTATTTAGATTTTTTGACCAATCGTTCTGTTTTAGGCCTCCATTCCTGGTGTTCAGCGGAGGGATGCCCAGGGCCAGTTATGGAGACAGACATTGCATCACAGTAATCCACAGTAAAACACACGTGGCGTTGGACTTTACATCACGGATTATAGACTTCTTTGTGGTCACAGAAGGACCTCAAAACACAGGTGAGACCAAGAGGCTTTTGTCATTCAGTCAGTCAATTTATTTATATTTATCTCATTTATGATGGGGCGATATGGCTGAAAACTATATCACAATATCAGTAATTCATATTGGTTCATATCGATAATTATTATTATTGTTCTTTTTCTTTTTTAACCTAAAATACATTTGTCGTGTCGGCTGTTAGCAACACTTGTTTACAGTCACAGGGAATGAGAACTCAGGCTGGAGGCATATGTTCACAAGCACTGTGTCCCCCATTGTCAGTCCTGGTCTAGTCCTGGTCTAGTCCTGGTCTAGTCCTGGTCCAGTCCTGGGTCTAGTCCTGGTCTAGTCCTGGTCTAGTCCTGGTCTAGTCCTGGTTTAGTCCTGGTTTAGTCCTGGTCTAGTCCTGGTCTAGTCCTGGTCTAGTCCTGGTCTAGTCCTGGTCTAGTCCTGGTCTAGTCCTGGTCTAGTCCTGGTCTAGTCCTGGTCTAGTCCTGGTCTAGTCCTGGTCTAGTCCTGGTCTAGTCCTGGTCTAGTCCTTGTCTAGTCCTTGTCTAGTCCTTGTCTAGTCCTGGTCTAGTCCTCTGTTGTGTGCAGGTAACCCCAGTGCTCTGGTGGTCCTGGTGGAGGAGGAGCTGGTGGTGATAGACCTGCAGACCGAAGGCTGGCCCGTCATCCAGACCCCGTACCTGGTCCCTCTGCACAGCTCGGCCATCACCTGCTCCCACCACGTCTCCTCCATCCCCTTTAAGCTGTGGGAGCGGATCAGCGCGGCGGGCGACCTGCAGCACACGCACTACTCCAAGAAGGTACGCAGGGCAAATGTACGAAGTAAATACACAACATCAGTGTATGAGGAAAGTGGCGCTGCATACCGTATTTTCCAGAGTGTAAGCCGCACCTGAGTGTAAGCCGCACCCGAGTGTAAGCCGCACCCGAGTGTAAGCCGCACCCGAGTGTAAGCCGCACCCGAGTGTAAGCCGCACCCGAGTGTAAGCCGCACCCGAGTGTAAGCCGCACCCGAGTGTAAGCCGCACCCGAGTGTAAGCCGCACCCGAGTGTAAGCCGCACCCGAGTGTAAGCCGCACCCGAGTGTAAGCCGCACCCGAGTGTAAGCCGCACCCGAGTGTAAGCCGCACCCGAGTGTAAGCCGCACCCGAGTGTAAGCCGCACCTGCCCCACATAGGGCACTGTCCGGTTTCCGAAATGTGCTAAAAATAGCTTCGATGACTGCGCACTGCAGTTCTGGTGCTTGTCGGAGCGATTTCAGATACTCTGAAAAGGACTATATGAAAGTAACATTCAACCCGTTTGTTAAACCACAACATCGAACCAGACCAGGACCAGACCAGGACAAGTGCAGGAGGTGGGTTCGTGCTTGTGATCGGCAGAATTTCTCTCATGAAAATGTTAAAAAGGACTCATATTTGTTCAAAACACTTGGTCTGTGAAGCTGGACCAACTGTGGAGCCTCCAGAACCAGTCCTAGCTACAATTAGCTGGAACTGGATCTGGACCTGGACCGCTGTATCAGGTCCATCTGAGCTCTTCTGAATGTAGTTAGCACAAACTTTCTCTTAATACTAATATGGATTGATGTGAAACGTGCAATACATACAGAATACACAAAACAACATACTTCATACATGTCAACAATGCTTCATGTGTGTCACCTGATCCAAGGCTGTTTCCCCATTATGCTGTGGTCATACACGAGTTTATTTATTTTTTATTTTTTCATTGGGTCTTTATCCTTGTAGCATCCTCTGTTTTACAAATACACATCATACATTTCAAAGATTATGGCAAAATAACTGACTTTTTGGTTTAAGTCTCCAAGAACCCAAATTTTCTACATTGCCATATTTGGTCATTGAATGCTGCTTTCCAAAAATAGCACAGATAACACTTTTTATCCAACATATATTTTTAAGTCTGGGTTCTTTCTCAAAGTGATAGAACCCAGTGAAAGAATCTAGAAACTTTGAGGAAGGACCAAGACATTAAAATATTTGTCGAAAAATATCTGTGCATTTTATGTTTTGGGTAAAAAGTGGTAATCTGTGATGTTTTAGCTGTAATCTGTTGGAAAGGTGTTGGCTCCGCCCCCAGTAATGAATGGTCCTCACAGTTTGATGCGTCCTTTTGTTTGGTAATCTCTGTTGTATCTTATTACATGGAGGGACCAGGGACCAGGTGGGGAGACATTATGTGAGTGCAGGGGTTTGGTAGGGACCAGGTGGGGATACAGTATGTGAGTGCAGGGGTTTGGTATGGACCAGGTGAGGAGACAGTATGTGAGTGCAGGGGTTTGGTAGGGACCAGGTGGGGAGACATTATGTGAGTGCAGGGGTTTGGTAGGGACCAGGTGAGGAGACAGTATGTGAGTGCAGGGGTTTGGTAGGGACCAGGTGGGGAGACAGTATGTGAGTGCAGGGGTTTGGTAGGGACCAGGTGGGGATACAGTATGTGAGTGCAGGGGTTTGGTAGGGACCAGGTGGGGAGACAGTATGTGAGTGCAGGGGTTTGGTAGGGACCAGGTGGGGAGACAGTATGTGAGTGCAGGGGTTTGGTAGGGACCAGGTGGGGAGACAGTATGTGAGTGCAGGGGTTTCAGAGCTGTGGAGTTAGCTAGAAACCAGGACCAGGGACCAGGTGGGGAGACAGCAGGGACCAGGTGGGGAGACAGTATGTGAGTGCAGGGGTTTGGTAGGGACCAGGTGGGGAGACAGCATGTGTTTGAAGTTGCCGTTAAGGTTGTATTTAATGTCATCGACGCTCTTCTTCCAGCATTGGCCTTTAACAGGAGGTCAGAGCCAGGCTGCAGACCCCCCACAGAGAGACCTGCTCCTCACCGGGTCAGTACCGCCGCTCACATGACGCCGCTCGGCTTCTGCTGTCACCGTTTGCTCGAGTGTCACTGAGTGTGTGTGTGTGTGTGTGTGTGTGTAGGCATGAAGACGGGACAGTGCGGTTCTGGGACGCCTCAGGGGTCTGTCTGTACCCCATGTACAAGCTGAGCACGGCCATAGCCTTCGAGACGGACGCGGATCCCAACGACAACATGAACCAAAGCAGCGAAGGGGAATGGCCGCCGTTTAGGAAGGTACGGCTCTTCACACTCACATGTTAGTCTCTGATAGATGCATAGATGGATAGATAGTTTATTGATCTCTGTTGGAGAAACGCAGGTGTCCAGCAGCAGCAAAAACACATCCGTCACATAAACACAACAAATACATTGATCTAAAAAGATAATAATAGTAATAATAAAATGCCACAGCAGCAGAAGTGGAGCTTTGTTCAGACCCTTTTCTCTGGTCCAAAGTAAAATGATAAATGCTTTATTAGCATTTTACTGAAAGTTAGCATTCCTCCAGAGGATTTTCACCTGATCCACTTGGTTCGGACCATGAATCCTCTCTGCTCTGGTCTGGACCAGTGTAAAACCATGAATCCTCTCTGCTCTGGTCTGGACCAGTGTAAAACCATGAATCCTCTCTGCTCTGGTCTGGACCAGTGTAAAACCATGAATCCTCTCTGCTCTGGTCTGGACCAGTGTAAAACCATGAATCCTCTCTGCTCTGGTCTGGACCAGTGTAAAACCATGAATCCTCTCTGCTCTGGTCTGGACCAGTGTAAAACCATGAATCCTCTCTGCTCTGGTCTGGACCAGTGTAAAACCATGAACACTGAACTGCAGCAACATCTCAGGCAGAAAAAAGAAAGAAAAAAATAACAATTGTAAAACACTAAAACAACTGATTCAGAGACACTTAGGACTCGCTGCTGTTTCAATTCTAAAATAAACCATGATAACAATGACTGAAGCGTCTGAGTGTCCAAAAATATAAAACAAAATGTATTATATATTATTATTGACGAATGGACTTTCAACATAGTTCACTTTTCTGGATGTGTGTGTTTGTCCTTTTGTTGTTCCACATTTGACACGTATGGACATGTTTAATTCTGTCCCCTCCTTTAGGTCGGCTGCTTTGATCCCTACAGCGATGATCCTCGACTGGGAATCCAAAAGATACATTTGTGTAAATACAGTGGATACCTGATTGTGGCCGGCACCGCTGGACAGGTGCAAAACACTGAACAATAATGATTCATCCATGTGTTAAGAAGAATGACATGTTTGATGGTTCTGAAACTCAGATCCTGGTGATGGAGCTGAACGACGAGGCCGCCGAGCAGACTGTCGAGGCCAAAGTGGTGGATCTACTTCAAGGTCAAGAAGGATTTCGCTGGAAGGTAAAGAGCCTCTTCACTAAAGGACGTCACCCATGAGTCATTTTCATTTAGACTCATGGGACTTGAACATTTATATGAGTAAGTAGTAAGTAATCTTTATTTATATACCTCCTTTTCACTGCACATCGGAGTCTCAAAGCGGTTTACAATTGTTTTTGAGCGGGGCCAGTACAGGAGGCACATGCCAGACCTATTGTACATATTTTTAGTGGTAGGGGAAACCGGAGCACCCGGAGGAAACCTACGCAGACACGGGGAGAACATGCAAACTCCACTCAGAAAAGCCCTGGTCCAACCGGGATTTGAACCCAGGACCTTCTTGCTGAGAGGCGAGAGTGCTATCCACTCAGCCACCGTGTCACCCATATGAGGATTTTCCAAACTTTAGGAAAGATCCGCCCTCTCACTTTTTTTGCAAAACTCTCTACTCTAATTGGACGAGCTTGTATGACCAGAATGATTGACAGTTGGGAGGACCAATAGTGTTGACCAATAGTGTAGAAAATCTTCCTAATATACCTTTAATTGAAGTCATCAGTTTGACTTTAGCTAAATCTGGGTCAAACAGAATTATTACATATCACACTATTAAGGATTTATGGCAGAACATTTCCAACTGAACAAAAGGAATAGATAAAAACTGAGTATTTAGTAACTGGTATTGGGTTGATACCATAAGCGTGTACTCGTACTCATGCCATTGGACAGGATTCCAGTAAACGACGCCCACATTTTAAATTTACATTAGAGGCACGACAGCAAACACTGTGTTGCCATGGTGATCACTGAAAGCCGGCAGCGAGAAGGCAAGCTAGCGACACACAAGCTAGCGACACACAAGCTAGCGACACACAAGCTAGCGACACACAAGCCAGCGACACACAAGCTAGCGACACACAAGCTAGCGACACACAAGCTAGCGACACACAAGCCAGCGACACACAAGCGAGCGACACACAAGCTAGCGACACACAAGCCAGCGACACACAAGCGAGCGACACACAAGCCAGCGACACACAAGCTAGCGACACACAAGCGAGCGACACACAGGCTAGCGACACACAGGCTAGCAACACACAAGCCAGCGACACACAAGCTAGCGACACACAAGCCAGCGACACACAAGCGAGCGACACACAAGCCAGCGACACACAAGCTAGCGACACACAAGCGAGCGACACACAGGCTAGCGACACACAGGCTAGCAACACACAAGCCAGCGACACACAAGCTAGCGACACACAAGCCAGCGACACACAAGCTAGCGACACACAGGCTAGCGACACACAAGCTAGCGACACACAAGCGAGCGACACACAAGCCAGCGACACACAAGCCAGCGACACACAAGCTAGCGACACACAAGCGAGCGACACACAAGCTAGCACCTTAAGAATTTTCTTATTGTTGAAACGAGAAAACATTATAAATTGCAGTTTAATTAGTTTTATGAATTCCCAGAGCAAACACAATGCTCGTATCGGCAAGTGCTCTAACTTGCCACACTCGGCTGGACGTGTATGTGTGTGTGTTCATGTGTGTGTGTTCATGTGTGTGTGTTCATGTGTGTGTGTTCATGTGTGTGTGTTCATGTGTGTGTGTTCATGTGTGTGTGTTCATGTGTGTGTGTTCATGTGTGTGTGTTCTCTCTCTGCAGGGCCACACTCGGCTGGACGTGTATGTGTGTGTGTGTTCATGTGTGTGTGTTCTCTCTCTGCAGGGCCACACTCGGCTGGACGTGTATGTGTGTGTGTGTTCATGTGTGTGTGTTCTCTCTCTCTGCAGGGCCACACTCGGCTGGACGTGTATGTGTGTGTGTGTTCATGTGTGTGTGTTCTCTCTCTCTGCAGGGCCACACTCGGCTGGACGTGTATGTGTGTGTGTGTTCATGTGTGTGTGTTCTCTCTCTGCAGGGCCACACTCGGCTGGACGTGTATGTGTGTGTGTGTTCATGTGTGTGTGTTCTCTCTCTCTGCAGGGCCACACTCGGCTGGACGTGTATGTGTGTGTGTGTTCATGTGTGTGTGTTCTCTCTCTGCAGGGCCACACTCGGCTGGACGTGTATGTGTGTGTGTGTTCATGTGTGTGTGTTCTCTCTCTGCAGGGCCACACTCGGCTGGACGTGTATGTGTGTGTTTGTGCTGGACGTGTATGTGTGTGTGTGTTCATGTGTGTGTGTTCTCTCTCTGCAGGGCCACACTCGGCTGGACGTGTATGTGTGTGTGTGTTCATGTGTGTGTGTTCTCTCTCTGCAGGGCCACACTCGGCTGGACGTGTATGTGTGTGTGTGTTCATGTGTGTGTGTTCTCTCTCTGCAGGGCCACACTCGGCTGGACGTGTATGTGTGTGTGTGTTCATGTGTGTGTGTTCTCTCTCTCTGCAGGCCACACTCGGCTGGACGTGTATGTGTGTGTGTGTTCATGTGTGTGTGTTCTCTCTCTGCAGGGCCACACTTGGCTGGACGTGTTGTGTGTGTGTGTTCATGTGTGTGTGTTCTCTCTCTGCAGGGCCACACTCGGCTGGACGTGTATGTGTGTGTGTGTTCATGTGTGTGTGTTCTCTCTCTGCAGGGCCACACTCGGCTGGACGTGTATGTGTGTGTGTGTTCATGTGTGTGTTCTCTCTCTCTGCAGGGCCACACTCGGCTGGACGTGTATGTGTGTGTGTGTTCATGTGTGTGTTTCTCGGCACACTCGCTGGACGTGTGTGTGTGTGTTTCATGTGTGTGTTCTCTCTCTCTGCAGGGCCACACTCGGCTGGACGTGTATGTGTGTGTGTGTTCATGTGTGTGTGTCTCTCTCTCTGCAGGGCCACACTCGGCTGGACGTGTATGTGTGTGTGTGTTCATGTGTGTGTGTTCTCTCTCTGCAGGGCCACACTCGGCTGGATGTGCGACAGGAGAGTGTGTTGTTCCCTGTGGGGTTTCAGCCGTTTGCTGTGGTCCAGTGTCAGCCTCCTGCGGTCATCACGGCCCTGACCCTTCACTCCGAGTGGAAACTTGTCGCTTTTGGCACCAGCCATGGATTTGGATTATTTGATTTTCAACAAAAGAATAGTGTTTTTGTCAAGTAAGATTGTTTTTTTTTATGATTTCTAAAATTCTGTTTCTGATAAAAGCACTGTTTTTCATTGTATTCATTGTTATATTTTGGACTTATACAAACGCATACACAAGTATAGCTATAGAAATACACACACACACTCTCATGCACATGCACACACTCTCTCATGCACACACACACACACTCTCTCATGCACACACACACACACACACTCTCTCATGCACACGCTCACACACACACACACTCTCTCATGCACACGCTCACACACACACACACTCTCTCATGCACACACACACACACACACTCTCTCATGCACACGCTCACACACACACACACTCTCTCATGCACACGCTCACACACACACACTCTCTCATGCACACGCTCACACACACACATACTCTTATGCACACGCTCACACACACACACACACACACATACACTCATGCACACGCTCACACACACACACACTCTCTCATGCACACACACACACACACACACACACACTCTCTCATGCACACGCTCACACACACACACACACTCTCTCATGCACACGCTCACACACACACACACACTCTCTCATGCACACGCTCACACACACACATACTCTTATGCACACGCTCACATACACACACACACATACACTCATGCACACGCTCACACACACACACACTCTCTCATGCACACGCTCACACATACTCTTATGCACACGCTCACACACACACACACACACTCTCATGCACACGCTCACACACACACACACACACACTCTCTCATGCACACGCTCACACACACACACACTCTCTCATGCACACGCTCACACATACTCTTATGCACATGCTCACACACACACACACATACACTCATGCACACGCTCACACACACACACACACTCTCTCATGCACACGCTCACACACACACACACACTCTCATGCACATGCTCACACACACACATACTCTTATGCACACGCTCACACACACACACACACACACATACACTCATGCACACGCTCACACACACACACACACATACACTCATGCACACGCTCACACACACACACACTCATGCACATACACACACACATTCACTCAGTGCCCAAATGTGTCCAATATTTAGAACTTTATTCATAAATCCCCAGCCCATTGAGGTACACAGTCTATGGTATCGACTCCTGCTCCATGTTAATCATTTACCGTTTCTAATGGACAGTTATTTAACATTGAATAATAACGACAAAAAAACACATTCCTTGCATGCGTCAGCCGTCACGAGCTCCATTTATTTAAACGAGTGACTTCAAAAATTCACAGCAACTAAACTAGACTGGTCCAGAACACTCCCCTCAAACATGTGGAACGGAGCTTTGGGCACTGAGCCACTTTTGAACCATCCTGTAAAGGTATCTTCGAGAGGTCTGAAGATAACTACATTAGCATTGAATAATTCTAATTCCGGGTCCACCCCCACAGGCCTGGGGTGGTATTGCAGCATGTCAGCACAGGTCATTTTAGACATTTTTGAGCCGGGACCCGCCCACACTGGTCACGACTCAGGACCAGGATCATTATAATCAAACACTAGCCACATTAAAGCATTATTAAAGTATATATGTGTTAATTTGACTGTGTGTAGGTGCACCTTAAACCCCAGTGACCAGCTGGCCATGGAGGGGCCTTTGTCCAGAGTAAAGAGTATCAAAAAGTCTCTTCGTCAATCGTTCAGAAGAATCCGCCGCAGCCGAGTGTCTCTTCGAAAGCATCACGTCAACAACGCAGCAAAGGTAACTGTTTAACTTCATTATTGAACTGTGGCTTCTCACTGTGGGGAAATGTCAGTGTTGCACCAGCAGAGGAAGAACGAGGAGATGCAGCACACCATTAATGACTAATAATTCTATCTAATAACTGACTAAAGTGTCTAACTTTAGCAACATAAAGAAACAAGTCAAACATGTGTGTGTTTGTGTGTGTGTGTGTGTGTGTGTGTGTGTGTTCATGTGTGTGTGGTCATGTGTATGTTCATATGTGTGTGTGTGTTCATGTGTGTGGTCATGTGTGTGTTCATGTGTATGTGTGTGTGTGTGTGTGTGGTCATGTGTGTGTTCATGTGTTTGTGTGTGTGTGTGTGTGTGTGTTCATGTGTGTGTGTGTGTGTGTGTGTGGTCATGTGTGTGTTCATGTGTATGTGTGTGTGTGGTCATGTGTGTGTTCGTGTGTGTGTGTTCATGTGTATGTGTGTGTGTGGTCATGTGTATGTTTATGTGTGTGTGTGTGTTCATGTGTGTGGTCATGTGTGTGTTCATGTGTATGTGTGTGTGTGTGTGTGTGTGGTCATGTGTGTGTTCATGTGTTTGTGTGTGTGTGTGTGTGTTCGTGTGTGTGTGTGTGTGTGTGTGTGGTCATGTGTGTGTGTTCATGTGTATGTGTGTGTGTTCGTGTGTGTGTGTTCATGTGTGTGTTCATGTGTATGTGTGTGTGTGTTCATGTGTATGTGTGTGTGTGGTCATGTGTGTGTTCATGTGTATGTGTGTGTGTGTTCATGTGTATGTGTGTGTGTGTTCATGTGTATGTGTGTGTGTGGTCATGTGTGTGTTCGTGTGTGTGTGTTCATGTGTGTGTTCATGTGTGTGTGTGTGGTCATGTGCGTGTTAATTTGTGTGTGTTCGTTTGTGTGTGTGTATTCATGTGTGTTCATGTGTGTGTTCACGTGTGTGTGTTAATGTGTGTGTGTTCATATGTGTGTTAATGTGTGTGTTCATGTGTGTGTGTGTTAATGTGTGTGTGTTCATGTGTTTGTGTTCATGTGTGTGTGTTCACGTGTGTGTGTTAATGTGTGTGTGTGTGTATTCATGTGTGTGTTCATATGTGTGTGTTCATGTGTTGATGTGTGTGTGTTCATATGTGTGTGTTCACGTGTGTGTGTGTTGCTGTGTGTGTGTTCACGTGTGTGTGTTGATGTGTGTGTGTTCATGTGTGTGTGTTCACGTGTGTGTTAATGTGTGTGTGTTCACGTGTGTGTTAATGTGTCTGTTCACGTGTGTGTGTTCATGTGTGTATTCACGTGTGTGTTAATGTGTGTGTGTTTCAGCTGCATGAGGCCAACGCCCGTCTGGAGGCGGAGCTGGCGGAGATGGAGCTGGCCCCGGTCCAGAGGAAGATCGAGGCCCGGTCCTCAGACGACTCCTTCACGGGCCTCGTCAGAACGCTGTACTTCGCCGACACCTTCCTCTCGGACAGTGAGCGTCACGGTGAACTGTAAATACTTTTGTTTTGTGTTACCGGCGCTGAACCCCTGTCCTCACTCAGGTTCTCACAACACGCCATCGTTGTGGGCGGGCACTAACGGCGGCTGCGTTTTCGCCTACATGCTACGTGTTCCGGCTGTGGAGCGCCGCGCAGACGAGCCAATCACAGCGCAGCCAGGTCAGAACTGTTGCTAATGCTGTCCTCAAGTAAGTCATATTTATTTATATAGCGCCTTTCACAGACCAGAGTCACAAAGAGCAGATGGGAGTGGGGTCGACCTATTTTACATGTTTTTAGTGGTAGGGGAAACCTGGAGCACCTGGAGGGAACCTACGACACAGGTAGAACATACAAACTCCACTCAGAAAGGCCCTACTCAAACCCAGGACCTTCTTGCTGAGAAGCGAGAGTGCGTTGTGTAGTGGTTAGCAGTCTCGCTTCTCAGCAAGAAGGTCCTGGGTTCGAATCCCGGTAAGAGCAGGGCCTTTCTCAGTGGAGTTTGCATGTTCTCCCCGTGTCTGTGTAGGTTTAGGTCTGAATGGGTCTGAATGTAACGAGTGAGTGAATGGAGGGTGTTTGGTCGGAGGCTTTGAGGGTCCAGTGTGTTCTGGTCTCGCTTCAGTCTTCACCGTCTGTGGAGAGAATAGAACAATATCTGATTTCTGAACAATTGTAAAGCGCTTTGGGTGACTTTGGTCTGTAAAATGCGCTATATACAGTGCCTTGCGAAAGTATTCGGCCCCCTTGAACCTTTCAACATTTTGCCACATTTCAGTCTTCAAACATAAAGATATAAAATTTTAATTTTTTGTCATGAATCAACAACAAGTGGGACACAATCGTGAAGTGGAACAAAATTTATTGGATAATTTAAACTTTTTTAACAAATAAAAAACTGAAAAGTAATGCGTGCAATATTATTGGGCCCCTTTACTTTCAGTGCAGCAAACTCACTCCAGAAGTTCAGTGAGGATCTTTGAATGATCCAATGTTGTCCTAAATGACTGATGATGATAAATAGAATGCACCTGTGTGTAATCAAGTCTCCGTATAAATGCACCTGCTCTTTGATAGTCTCAGGGTTCTGTTTAAAGCACAAAGAGAACCATGAAGACAAAGGAACACACCAGGCAGGTCCGAGATACTGTTGTGGAGAAGTTTAAAGCCGGATTTGGATACAAAAAGATTTCCTAAGCTTTAAACATCTCAAGGAGCACTGTGCAAGCAATTATATTGAAATGGAAGGAGTATCAGACCACTGCAAATCTACCAAGACCCGGCCGTCCCTCCAAACTTTCATCTCAAACAAGGAGAAGACTGATCAGAGATGCAGCCAAGAGGCCCATGATCACTCTGGATGAACTGCAGATAACTACAGCTGAGGTGGGAGAGTCTGTCCATAGGACAACAATCAGTCGTGCACTGCACAAATCTGGCCTTTATGGAAGAGTGGCCATTTCTCAAAGATATCCAATAAAAGTCTCTTAAAGTTTGCCACAAGCCACCTGGGAGACACACCAAACATGTGGAAGAAGGTGCTCTGGTCAGATGAAACCAAAATCAAACTTTTTGGCCACAATGCAAAAGGATATGTTTGGTGTAAAAGCAACACAGCTCATCACCCTGAACACACCATCCCCACCTCAGCTGTAGTTATCTGCAGTTCATCCAGAGTGATCATGGGCCTCTTGGCTGCATCTCTGATCAGTCTTCTCCTTGTTTGAGATGAAAGTTTGGAGGGACGGCCGGGTCTTGGTAGATTTGCAGTGGTCTGATACTCCTTCCATTTCAATATAATTGCTTGCACAGTGCTCCTTGAGATGTTTAAAGCTTGGGAAATGTTTTTGTATCCAAATCCGGCTTTAAACTTCTCCACAACAGTATCTCGGACCTGCCTGGTGTGTTCCTTTGTCTTCATGGTTCTCTTTGTGCTTTAAACAGAACCCTGAGACTATCAAAGAGCAGGTGCATTTATACGGAGACTTGATTACACACAGGTGCATTCTATTTATCATCATCAGTCATTTAGGACAACATTGGATCATTCAAAGATCCTCACTGAACTTCTGGACTGAGTTTGCTGCACTGAAAGTAAAGGGGCCCAATAATATTGCACGCCCCACTTTCAGTTTTTTATTTGTTAAAAAAGTTTAAATTATCCAACAAATTTCATTACACTTCACAATTGTGTCCCACTTGTTGTTGATTCATGACAAAAAATTAAAATTTTATATCTTTATGTTTGAAGCCTGAAATGTGGCGAAATGTTGAAAGGTTCAAGGGGGCCGAATACTTTCGCAAGGCACTGTAAATAAACATTACTTACTTGAAAAAGAAGTCTACCTCATTGATGCTTCTCTATCACTTTTAGCATCAAGCTACATTTACACCATTTGGTAAAAAGCCTGAAATAAAAACAGAATAAAAACTAGGGATGCAGTGTGACATTTTGGGCCGATACCGATGTTTTAACAACTTGACCCATGTTTTTCTTTTGGTTATTTATATTTATTTTTGGTGGTTTCAGTTAGGGATGAGTGACCGTTTAACCGGTGGTTAACCGTCACAGCGTTAACCGGTCAAAGCTGTCGGATAAAAAAGAGAAAAAGGGGAGGTCTCTATTTGCACTTTGTGACGAGCGGGTCCGTCTCTAGCTGTGTGCGCCAATGTATTAGTAAACTTTGGGACGACTCTCACGCCGCACGCGCCACATATGCACACACACACATGCACACACACACATGCACACACACATGCACACGCACACACACACACTTTCCCCCCCTCCATTGATATGTAACATCCACACGCATCACCTCTCCCCTCTGTTACCGCCTGCTAGTTGCACACTGGTGCGGGTCAGATCTACATTGGAGCTTACATTTATAAACACATACATGACGCGGCGCGTCACTCGCTGCTCTAACCATGTGGACGAGCCGTCTTTTGCTTAAAAATGCTTGAACCCGCAGCACAGCAGAATGGGAAGATTAAAACAGCAGTTCTCTGTGCGCAAAGGTGCCGGAGCTGTTGCGGGTTTTAGCGCCGCTGTCTCGGCTCTGATCCAGTAGAACGCAGAGCTGCTCTTATGAAAAGTACGCGGCTCGAAATGGCTGTTATTTCAAAGAACGTGGACTATTTTAAACTACGCGGTTAACCGGTTTCAACCGGTTAATGAGGCTCGGTGGTCGGTCATTAAAATACATCCCTAGTTTCAGTATTTGTTTTTCTTCAGCTTCATGCCGTGTCCTGCATCTTAGAAAATCAAAAAGAAACATTGCTTTCTTCAAAGAGGGAACATTAAAGGGTTAAACAAATATCTCCAGGTTTGTGGTAATCGATCTGTTCAATTCTCTTCAGCAAAAGAGATCCAGCTGATGCACCGGGCCCCTGTGGTTGGGATCGTGGTGCTGGACGGACACGGGGCCCCTCTCCCGGAGCCCCTGGAGGTGGCCCACGACCTCGCCCGCTCTCCGGAGATGCACGGCTCACATCATGTCCTGGTGATCTCAGAGGAGCAGTTTAAGGTTAGTACACTCTGGTCCATGGTCATCTCCTACATGTACGTCTGGTCTTACCATGTGTAAACTCTGGTCCATGATCATCTCCTACATGTACGTCTGGTCTTACCATGTGTAAACTCTGGTCCATGGTCATCTCCTACATGTACGTCTGGTCTTACCATGTGTAAACTCTGGTCCATGATCATTTCCTACATGTACGTCTGGTCTTACCATGTGTAAACTCTGGTCCATGGTCATCTCCTACATGTACGTCTGGTCTTACCATGTGTAAACTCTGGTCCATGGTCATCTCCTACATGTACGTCTGGTCTTACCATGTGTAAACTCTGGTCCATGATCATTTCCTACATGTACGTCTGGTCTTACCATGTGTAAACTCTGGTCCATGGTCATCTCCTACATGTACGTCTGGTCTTACCATGTGTAAACTCTGGTCCATGGTCATCTCCTACATGTACGTCTGGTCTTACCATGTGTAAACTCTGGTCCATGGTCATCTCCTACATGTACGTCTGGTCTTACCATGTGTAAACTCTGGTCCATGATCATCTCCTACATGTACGTCTGGTCTTACCATGTGTAAACTCTGGTCCATGGTCATCTCCTACATGTACGTCTGGTCTTACCATGTGTAAACTCTGGTCCATGGTCATCTCCTACATGTACGTCTGGTCTTACCATGTGTAAACTCTGGTCCATGATCATTTCCTACATGTACGTCTGGTCTTACCATGTGTAAACTCTGGTCCATGGTCATCTCCTACATGTACGTCTGGTCTTACCATGTGTAAACTCTGGTCCATGGTCATCTCCTACATGTACGTCTGGTCGTACCATGTGTAAACTCTGGTCCATGGTCATTCCCTACATGTACGTCTGGTCTTACCATGTGTAAACTCTGGTCCATGGTCATCTCCTACATGTACGTCTGGTCTTACCATGTGTAAACTCTGGTCCATGGTCATCTCCTACATGTACGTCTGGTCTTACCATGTGTAAACTCTGGTCCATGGTCATCTCCTACATGTACGTCTGGTCGTACCATGTGTAAACTCTGGTCCATGGTCATTCCCTACATGTACGTCTGGTCTTACCATGTGTAAACTCTGGTCCATGATCATCTCCTACATGTACGTCTGGTCTTACCATGTGTAAACTCTGGTCCATGATCATCTCCTACATGTACGTCTGGTCTTACCATGTGTAAACTCTGGTCCATGGTCCCACAGGAGATATTCTTGGGACAGGGGTTCACATTGAACAGACCATCAGATATCTTCAAACAAAACCATTAAATTAACTTTGTTCATGTATTTTAAACTATATTAATGAACTCTTTACACCCCTACACAGTCCTACACAGTCCTACACAGTTCTACACAGTCCTACACAGTCCTACACAGTCCTACACAGTCCTACACAGTCCTACACAGTCCTACACAGTCCTACACAGTCCTGGACAGTCCTACACAGTTCTACACAGTTCTACACAGTCCTACACAGTCCTACACAGTCCTACACAGTCCTACACAGTCCTACACAGTCCTGGACAGTCCTACACAGTTCTACACAGTCCTACACAGTCCTACACAGTCCTGGACAGTCCTACACAGTCCTACACAGTCCTACACAGTCCTACACAGTCCTAGACAGTCCTGGACAGTCCTACACAGTCCTACACAGTCCTACACAGTCCTAGACAGTCCTGGACAGTCCTGGACAGTCCTACACAGTTCTACACAGTCCTACACAGTCCTACACAGTCCTACACAGTCCTAGACAGTCCTGGACAGTCCTGGACAGTTCTACACAGTCCTACACAGTCCTACACAGTCCTACACAGTTCTACACAGTCCTGGACAGTTCTACACAGTCCTAGACAGTCCTGGACAGTCCTACACAGTCCTACACAGTCCTACACAGTCCTACACAGTCCTACACAGTCCTACACAGTTCTACACAGTCCTGGACAGTTACACAGTCCTACACAGTCCTACACAGTCCTACACAGTCCTACACAGTCCTACACAGTCCTACACAGTCCTAGACAGTCCTGGACAGTCCTGGACAGTCCTACACAGTCCTACACAGTCCTACACAGTCCTACACAGTCCTACACAGTCCTAGACAGTCCTAGACAGTCCTACACAGTCCTACACAGTTCTACACAGTCCTACACAGTCCTACACAGTCCTACACAGTCCTAGACAGTCCTGGACAGTCCTGGACAGTCCTGGACAGTCCTACACAGTTCTACACAGTCCTACACAGTCCTAGACAGTCCTAGACAGTCCTGGACAGTCCTACACAGTCCTACACAGTCCTACACAGTCCTAGACAGTCCTGGACAGTCCTGGACAGTCCTACACAGTTCTACACAGTTCTACACAGTCCTACACAGTCCTACACAGTCCTACACAGTCCTACACAGTCCTACACAGTCCTACACAGTCCTAGACAGTCCTGGACAGTCCTGGACAGTTCTACACAGTCCTAGACAGTCCTGGACAGTCCTACACAGTCCTACACAGTCCTACACAGTTCTACACAGTCCTGGACAGTTCTACACAGTCCTAGACAGTCCTACACAGTCCTACACAGTCCTACACAGTCCTACACAGTCCTACACAGTCCTACACAGTCCTACACAGTCCTGGACAGTCCTACACAGTCCTAGACAGTCCTAGACAGTCCTACACAGTTCTACACAGTCCTACACAGTCCTACACAGTCCTACACAGTCCTGGACAGTCCTACACAGTCCTACACAGTCCTGGACAGTCCTGGACAGTCCTACACAGTTCTACAGAGTCCTACACAGTCCGAGACAGTCCTGGACAGTCCTGGACAGTCCTACACAGTCCTACACAGTCCTACACAGTCCTACACAGTCCTACACAGTCCTGGACAGTCCTACACAGTCCTACACAGTCCTACACAGTCCTACACAGTCCTACACAGTCCTAGACAGTCCTGGACAGTCCTGGACAGTCCTACACAGTTCTACACAGTCCTACACAGTCCTGGACAGTCCTACACAGTCCTACACAGTCCTACACAGTCCTACACAGTCCTGGACAGTCCTGGACAGTCCTGGACAGTCCTGGACAGTCCTACACAGTCCTACACAGTCCTGGACAGTCCTGGACAGTCCTGGACAGTCCTACACAGTCCTACACAGTCCTACACAGTCCTACACAGTCCTACACAGTCCTACACAGTTCTACACAGTCCTGGACAGTTCTACACAGTCCTAGACAGTCCTGGACAGTCCTACACAGTTCTACACAGTCCTACACAGTCCTACACAGTCCTACACAGTCCTAGACAGTCCTGGACAGTCCTGGACAGTCCTACACAGTTCTACACAGTCCTACACAGTCCTACACAGTCCTGGACAGTCCTACACAGTCCTACACAGTCCTACACAGTCCTACACAGTCCTAGACAGTCCTGGACAGTCCTACACAGTCCTACACAGTCCTAGACAGTCCTGGACAGTCCTACACAGTCCTACACAGTTCTACACAGTCCTACACAGTCCTACACAGTCCTAGACAGTCCTACACAGTCCTACACAGTCCTACACAGTCCTACACAGTTCTACACAGTCCTGGACAGTTCTACACAGTCCTAGACAGTCCTACACAGTCCTACACAGTCCTACACAGTCCTACACAGTCCTACACAGTCCTACACAGTTCTACACAGTCCTACACAGTCCTACACAGTCCTACACAGTTCTACACAGTCCTGGACAGTTCTACACAGTCCTAGACAGTCCTGGACAGTCCTACACAGTTCTACACAGTCCTACACAGTTCTACACAGTCCTACACAGTCCTACACAGTCCTACACAGTCCTACACAGTCCTACACAGTCCTACACAGTCCTACACAGTCCTGGACAGTCCTGGACAGTCCTACACAGTTCTACACAGTCCTACACAGTCCTACACAGTCCTGGACAGTCCTACACAGTCCTACACAGTCCTACACAGTCCTACACAGTCCTACACAGTCCTAGACAGTCCTGGACAGTCCTACACAGTCCTACACAGTCCTAGACAGTCCTAGACAGTCCTACACAGTCCTACACAGTTCTACACAGTCCTACACAGTCCTACACAGTCCTACACAGTCACAGTCCTACACAGTCCTACACAGTCCTACACAGTCCTACACAGTCCTAACAGTCCACGTCTACACAGTCCTACACAGTCCTACACAGTCCTACACAGTCCTACACAGTCCTACACAGTCCTACACAGTCCTACACAGTCCTACACAGTCCTACACAGTTCTACACAGTCCTGGACAGTCCTACACAGTCCTACACAGTCCTACACAGTCCTACACAGTCCTACACAGTCCTACACAGTCCTACACAGTTCTACACAGTCCTGGACAGTCCTACACAGTCCTACACAGTTCTACACAGTCCTACACAGTCCTGGACAGTCCTACACAGTCCTACACAGTTCTACACAGTCCTGGACAGTTCTACACAGTCCTACACAGTCCTACACAGTTCTACACAGTCCTGGACAGTTCTACACAGTCCTACACAGTCCTACACAGTCCTACACAGTCCTACACAGTTCTACACAGTCCTACACAGTCCTACACAGTCCTACACAGTTCTACACAGTCCTGGACAGTTCTACACAGTCCTAGACAGTCCTGGACAGTCCTACACAGTCCTACACAGTCCTACACAGTCCTACACAGTCCTACACAGTCCTACACAGTTCTACACAGTCCTACACAGTCCTACACAGTCCTACACAGTCCTACACAGTCCTACACAGTCCTACACAGTCCTACACAGTTCTACACAGTCCTGGACAGTCCTACACAGTCCTACACAGTTCTACACAGTCCTACACAGTCCTACACAGTCCTACACAGTCCTACACAGTCCTACACAGTCCTACACATCCAACCAACAGTTCTTTGCTCTGTGGTGTTTTTCCAGATTTTCACGCTACCAAAAGTGAGCGCCAAGATGAAGTTGAAGCTCACGGCGGTGGACGGATCCCGGGTGCGAAAAGTGGGCGTGGCCTCGTTCGGCAGCAGTAAAACAGAAGAGTACAGCGAGAGCGACCTGATATTTCTGACCAATCAGGGCGACGTCCACGTGGTCTCGCTCCCGTCGCTCAAAATGCAGGTTCACTACCCCTGCATCCGCAAAGAGGACGTGAGCGGCATCGCCTCTTGTGTCTTCACCAAACACGGCCAAGGTACCGGCTCCAGGCGGGTGGTTGTCTGTCCGTCAGTCGTGCGGTTAGCTTGTCAGTCGTGCGGTTAGCTTGACAGTCGTGTGGTTAGCTTGACAGTCGTGCGGTTAGCTTGACAGTCGTGCGGTTAGCTTGACAGTCGTGTGGTTAGCTTGACAGTCGTGTGGTTAGCTTGACAGTCGTGTGGTTAGCTTGACAGTCGTGCGGTTAGCTTGACAGTCGTGCGGTTAGCTTGACAGTCGTGCGGTTAGCTTGACAGTCGTGCGGTTAGCTTGACAGTCGTGTGGTTAGCTTGACAGTCGTGTGGTTAGCTTGACAGTCGTGCGGTTAGCTTGACAGTCGTGCGGTTAGCTTGACAGTCGTGCGGTTAGCTTGACAGTCGTGCGGTTAGCTTGACAGTCGTGCGGTTAGCTTGACAGTCGTGTGGTTAGCTTGACAGTCGTGTGGTTAGCTTGACAGTCGTGCGGTTAGCTTGACAGTCGTGTGGTTAGCTTGACAGTCGTGTGGTTAGCTTGACAGTCGTGTGGTTAGCTTGACAGTCGTGTGGTTAGCTTGACAGTCGTGCGGTTAGCTTGACAGTCGTGCGGTTAGCTTGACAGTCGTGCGGTTAGCTTGACAGTCGTGCGGTTAGCTTGACAGTCGTGTGGTTAGCTTGACAGTCGTGTGGTTAGCTTGACAGTCGTGCGGTTAGCTTGACAGTCGTGCGGTTAGCTTGACAGTCGTGCGGTTAGCTTGACAGTCGTGCGGTTAGCTTGACAGTCGTGCGGTTAGCTTGACAGTCGTGCGGTTAGCTTGACAGTCGTGCGGTTAGCTTGACAGTCGTGCGGTTAGCTTGACAGTCGTGCGGTTAGCTTGACAGTCGGGGTGGACGATAATTATTGTAGGAGATAAGATTGCGAAAGTAACTTTGACTATAAGCTTTTTCAGATTATTGAGATATTAGCTCTATTTAACTTTCGCCGCTTTGCCTTCTCTGTGCTGCACCCCCTTGGCCCCTCCCCCTTGGCCCCTCCCCCTTGGCCCCTCCCTTTTGGCCCCTCCCCCACGGCCCCTCCCCCACGGCCCCTCCCCCTTGGCCCCTCCCTTTTGGCCCCTCCCTTTTGGCCCCTCCCCCACGGCCCCTCCCCCACGGCCCCTCCCCCACGGCCCCTCCCCCTTGGCCCCTCCCCCACGGCCCCTCCCCCTTGGCCCCTCCCCCACGGCCCCTCCCCCTTGGCCCCTCCCCCACGGCCCCTCCCTTTTGGCCCCTCCCCCACGGCCCCTCCCCCACGGCCCCTCCCCCACGGCCCCTCCCCCTTGGCCCCTCCCCCACGGCCCCTCCCCCACGGCCCCTCCCTTCGCCTGTGTTCATTCAACATAGCAGCGGCGCTATATAGTATATACAGCTGTAGACGTGACATCTTTTGCCGTCGTAAAACAACGTGGCTTTACACCAGAGAAACGAACTGTTACTTAATGTAACCCCGGTTCTTTGAAACAGTCGAGGCATTACTTAGCAACACAACAACTGCTGCGACTACACTACAGAGAGCGGCTGAAGTGGAACAAGTTACTTGTTTATCTTAAATGTTGCAAAAACACTTTGTTCCTATATCCACATTGAGTTGAATCATTTTATTTTTGAATGAAAAAAAGGCAATAAGTATAATTTCTTCAAAAACAGGAAATTAAAACAAATGTGACATGTGTTTGTTTCTACCTGAACTGACTCCTCTTTGAGGTACAATAAAAAAATACTTTGGAAATTGGCATGATTTTTTTTTGGTTGTAGTTTTTAGAGGGTTATTTATCCTGTAAAAATACAGCCGGACCTAACTGTGTCTCGTTGGTTTCGTTGCAGGTTTCTATCTGATTTCTCCGTCTGAGTTTGAGCGTTTCTCTTTGTCCACGCGGTCGGTGGTTGAGCTGCGGTGTTTGGTGGAGGCTCCTCTGCACCAGCGCTCACAGACTGATGCTGCTCATAGGTCTGTACTGGTTACTTTCACTTTCCCTTGACCCTTGCATAGTTCAGAATCACAACAGTAGTTATTGTGGACTTTTCAAGACAATTGAATTCGCCAACACAGATCAGAGCCTGTGAGCCTGAAGGTTGTGGTTTCGAGGATGTCTACATTTCTCTCTGTCTGGTGCACACTGGGGGGAGTCTTGCACAGTTTTTCCAATGTGGTTTTACTGCAAATGGCAAATAAATACATCTAAATCTGAATCCGAATCTGAAATGTCCGTATCTTACTTTCTGTTCTGATATTCTTTCTGTGTGTGTGTGGTAGGAACTCTAAGAAGGCTGGTGAAGATGCAGGTGAGTCTGAAATGATCACAGAAAGAGAACTGTCGAGTCTGTAAATGTGCCTTTCACCTGCTCTGATAAAGTAACAACTTAAACATCTGTAAATACCAATTAAAGCTCCAGAGTTTTATTTTATTATGTTTGTATTATTTGTTATGATCTTAAATGATTGATCCTGTTTGTGTGCGACCAGAGTGTTCTTATATCCTCCTTTTATCTCAGTGTTTTTCAACCAGTGGGTCGTGGGACGTTAGTGGGCCTTGAGATGTTTCTCCGTGTGCCTTGAGAAATTATCCAATATCACCAACTTGGTCAAGATAATGTGACAAAAAAAGAATTTGAAGATTAAAAATACTGCTTTGCACTTGTCTGATTTCTATATCGGGCGGCACGGTGGCTGAGTGGATAGCACTCTCGCCTCTCAGCAAGGAGGTCCTGGGTTCAAATCCCGGTTGGACCAGGGCCTTTCTGAGTGGAGTTTGCATGTTCTCCCCGTGTCTGCGTAGGTTTCCTCCGGGTGCTCCGGTTACCACAAAAAATATGTACAATAGGTCTGGCCTGTGCCTCCTGTACTGGCCCCGCTCCAAAAAATAACAATTGTAAACCGCTTTGAGACTCCGATGTGCAGTGAAAAGGCGGTATATAAATAAAAGATTACTACTACTACTACTACTACTATATAATACTCTTTGATGAGAACGACTTTGTTTCGTTCATAAAGGCTGCAGCGTAACCTCAGTTTCAGATGGTGTTTAATCTAAAATATTTTTTGTTAAAGGTGGATAGCACGCTCTGCTTTCTTCTGTGTCTAAATGTTTTCTGCTTTAGTGTAGAATTAGACAAAGACTAAATTGCTTCTTGTGTTTGTAGAAAGTGCAGCGCGGCGAGTGATGGAACACGCTCTGCTCAACGACGAGAGTGAGTTTTGTCGATTTTAAAAACGTTTGAATCCAAATAAAACCATTTGTGACCTTTTGTCGTTTTTATAGAAGTGCTGCAGGAAATCCAAAAGTCACTGGAAGGAGGTCCTTTGTAAGTGCATCATCAGCAGATACTACACAACAGAATGTGTATCTGTTTGTGTTCTCATCATGGTGTGTGTTTGATCCAGGTTATTGGAGAATAATTTATAGACTGGATGTATAAAAGAGGTACATAACAAACAGAATGACTCTTGGAAGTGAATGTGTGACGTGTATTTGTGTAACTTTGTGTTTGCTTCCTGCAGTTTAACCTGTGAACCACTAATGACTTTGACCTCAGACTGAGCTCCCCCTGGTGGAGAGAAGTATATCGCGCCTGCTCGAGGAGACACTTGTGCCTAAAGACCTGCCACTGTATCACAGAGAGTTTCATGTGCCTCTTTTTTAATCTGCTGAAGTAGACCATTTTTAAATTCATTATGAAGAATAACAAATTACCCAAAATGACAAAAAAATATTCTTGGAAAACGTGTAAAATATAGGACTTTTTATTTGCATAATTTAATCTTGTTTGGAGAATTTGATCCACTGTGAAATCTTTTGTAAATTCTAATTACTTTTTTTAACTGTTGATCATTTTTAGTTTTTTTTTTAATATATAGTGTTTTTCCCCCAAAAGATGTAAAATGCCTAAATGCAACTATTTATGCAATATTTGTGTATGTAGTGGGGAGGATTTCAACTGCTTCACTTTCCAACAGTTTCTAACCCGGTGCTTTTCTGGTGACTTTCCGTCCTCTAAATGTCAAGAGCAAAGGTACCGCTGCAGACGATAGGAACACGTCTGTAACACGTCTGTAACACGTCTGTAACACGCTGTAACACGTCTGTAACACGTCTGTAACACGTCTGTAAATGAAAGCTTTTGGTGTGTTTTAAGGACACTGTCTGTACTGTCTGTACTGTCTGTACTGTCTGTACTGTCTGTACTGTCGGTGCCGTCGGTGCCGTCTGTACTGTCGGTACTGTCTGTACTGTCGGTGCTGTCGGTGCCGTCTGTACTGTCGGTACTGTCTGTACTGTCTGTGCTGTCGGTGCTGTCGGTGCTGTCTGTACTGTCTGTACTGTCGGTGCTGTCGGTACTGTCGGTACTGTCTGTGCTGTCGGTACTGTCTGTGCTGTCGGTGCTGTCGGTGCCGTCTGTACTGTCTGTACTGTCGGTGCTGTCGGTACTGTCGGTACTGTCTGTGCTGTCGGTACTGTCTGTGCTGTCGGTGCTGTCTGTACTGTCGGTACTGTCTGTACTGTCGGTACTGTCTGTGCCGTCGGTGCCGTCTGTGCTGTCGGTGCTGTCTGTACTGTCGGTACTGTCTGTGCCGTCGGTACTGTCTGTGCTGTCGGTACTGTCTGTGCTGTCGGTGCTGTCTGTACTGTCGGTACTGTCTGTGCCGTCGGTACTGTCTGTACTGTCGGTGCTGTCTGTACTGTCGGTGCTGTCTGTGCTGTCGGTACTGTCTGTGCTGTCGGTACTGTCTGTACTGTCGGTACTGTCTGTGCTGTCGGTACTGTCTGTGCTGTCGGTACTGTCTGTACTGTCGGTGCCGTCTGTACTGTCGGTACTGTCTGTACTGTCGGTACTGTCTGTACTGTCGGTGCCGTCTGTACTGTCGGTACTGTCTGTACTGTCTGTACTGTCTGTACTGTCGGTGCCGTCTGTACTGTCGGTACTGTCTGTACTGTCGGTGCTGTCGGTGCCGTCTGTACTGTCGGTACTGTCTGTACTGTCGGTGCTGTCGGTGCTGTCGGTGCCGTCTGTACTGTCGGTACTGTCTGTGCTGTCGGTGCCGTCTGTGCCGTCGGTGCTGTCTGTACTGTCGGTACTGTCTGTGCTGTCGGTACTGTCTGTGCTGTCGGTACTGTCTGTGCTGTCTGTGCTGTCGGTGCTGTCGGTGCCGTCGGTGCCGTCGGTGCCGTCTGTACTGTCGGTGCTGTCTGTACTGTCGGTACTGTCTGTGCTGTCGGTACTGTCTGTGCTGTCGGTGCTGTCTGTACTGTCGGTGCTGTCTGTACTGTCGGTGCTGTCTGTGCTGTCGGTACTGTCTGTACTGTCGGTACTGTCTGTGCTGTCGGTACTGTCTGTGCTGTCGGTACTGTCGGTACTGTCTGTACTGTCGGTGCTGTCGGTGCCGTCTGTACTGTCGGTACTGTCTGTGCTGTCTGTGCTGTCGGTGCCGTCGGTGCCGTCGGTGCTGTCTGTACTGTCGGTGCTGTCTGTACTGTCGGTGCTGTCTGTACTGTCGGTACTGTCTGTGCTGTCGGTACTGTCTGTGCTGTCGGTGCCGTCTGTGCCGTCGGTAATGTCTGTACTGTTGGAGGCGGAGGCTGCTGCTACGGCACGTTTGGTACTTTCTCAGAATGCTGGGTTTTAGTATCTGCTTTAGAATATATATTTTTGTAGAATTTTAAAACTCCTGATTTTCTAATTTGTATTTTACACTACAGTTTATTGATCCTAATTATAACGTGTTTATCTGTAAGATCCTCTGTGTTTCATTTGTTCTCAAACAAGTGTCTTCAAAAGAAGATTTAGGAAATAGTCTTCATACAGATCAGGTTTAATAAAACCAGTGTCTGATAGTTTTAACCAAGTTTGTTTGTTATTGGCTTCACAACTGGAGGTACATGGACCCCTCGGGGTCATGAGGGAATATTACGGGGGTACTTTGCAAGATGATAATTATAATAATACTAATAATAGAGGATATGAGCTTTTATTGATTATTATTTTATTAACTCCTAAGAGTCATTATAGCTGATGGACTGAACTAAAACTGGACCAAAGTCAGAATGCCTCAGTGTAGGCCTCTCATTTTGTAAATGATCATATTTCTAAAACAAACAAAAAAAATACTCAAAATACAAATATTTCATGCATACATTAAAATAACCCATTGCACTAAAAACCACGTTTCCACAAAGACCATGAAGGAGCCCCGGAGAGCCCTGTGTCCATAGACTGTACCTGTGTCACGTCTCTGCGTGAATGACGTCTCGATATGTTTTGGTTTTTCAGTTTTATCTCATGTTAAAGGTTTGCGTCGTACTGAAGTGGAAAAGGTCCCTCTAACTCTGCAGGTGCTTTCATTAAAGAGCGACTAAACACCTGTGCTCAGCCTGACTCCGCCCACATGAAGATTTGAAAATGTTCTCTAAAAAGGGCGTTGCCTGGAGGACCAAGGGACAAGAAAGGGGGCTTAGAGTTGGGCGTGGTCTGGGCTGTGATTGACAGCTCACTTGTCACACACAAAAAAACAGACAGTTGTCATTGCTGCTTAAAGCAATAGTTTACAGACCAGAAAGTCTCATTCCACCCTTGTTTACACACTAAGATAATTGTAAAGCTACACACCTGAACCTAATCACACTCAATAATCTCAGAATGACTCATGTAATTTGATTTTAATCCACTAGATGGCGCCAGAATACTCCAAACTGCAGCTGGGGCGTGTGTGAGAGTTGAATGGGTTCACATCACTGGCTCTGACAGACTGACGTCACACAAAACAACTGATGTCATAGAGAACTTCAGAGTCAATGGAGAGGCCAGAACCAAATTCAAATGTAGTACCACCAAAAAGGTTGAGAGGGCACCACACAGCGTTTTTTGGCTCAAAAGTGATATTTTATCTAATTTGAACTAAAATGTCAAAAAAATTACCAGTATATGTAGACAGCACTACAATAAACATACTTATGCAGTTTATGAGTTAAAAGTTGATTTGGTGTTTAGTCGCTCTTTAAAGAGTTTACATTCTCTACATGTTGCCCAGAGAAGTCCTTTCAAACTTATACATGTTACACGTATGATCCTGAGGACGAGGCTAAAAGTGACAGCGGTAAATAAATGGTTTTGTTTGCGGACAAAACTCGTTTATTCCATCCTTGAATACAATACTAACGTTAGTCTAAAACAAAACAAATATCTAAAAACTACTTTGAGTAAACAAACATTATAGTTTGTTTTTAACTTTACGTTTGCGCCGTGAACGCCTCACTGGGGCCCGCTCTGCTCCAGCGGGTTTATGGTGCAGTTGATGGTCTCATTAAGCGTGAAGACCAGTGAAGACTAAAGACTTCATGGTAAGGTTTAGGTAACGGAGTCATTTCCAGTCAAGTGGATAAAGGACGTATCTGTTGTCACTTCTCCTGCCAAGACTTTAAATCATCTTATGAAATGAGATCCTGTCTGTGAAGGGCCTGGAGCTGGGACTTGGCAGAAACCAGACCCGTCCTGAAGGCTGTGGACCTCCTCTGATCCAACACTCTGTGGCAGGTTTATTTGTATAGCACATTTCATAAAGTTCCTAACAAAACAAGAGAAACAATCAAAAGGTGTTCAAATCATGAATAAACACTACAGTAAAAAGGGTAATGTTGCAGCCGCTAAACTGTTTTTAACCTGGATTTGTAAAACCCCTGTCCCTGTGCTCCAGCAGGAGGCCAGTCCCTGTGCTCCTCAGAGTCTGAGGAGCATGTATCTATAATAACTGGATAGAGTATTACTAGCTCTGTGCACGTGCATGGGAGAACCAGACGATGCCCAAATATGGGCAAGTTCTGCTCATCTTTCGGTCTCCGTGAAGTCCCATGAACTACTGAGCACAAGCCATTCATTTGAATAGGACGCCATCTTGGATCACCAGATCTTGGATCACCAGAGACTTGTAAGCAAGGTGTGTTTAGTGTCTTATTGGTGAAGTTTGGTATCGCTACATCTGGGCCAACAACAAAAACAACACATGAATGGGGGCCAAATATAAATTGGATTGAACCAGGACCAAGCACCCGGGGGGGCGACAGTGGCTCAGTTGGTAGAGCATTGGTCTTTGGACCTAATGGTCGTGGGTTCGATCCCACCACTACCCATGTCAGCTGTCGTCGTGTCCCTGGGCAAGACACTTAACCCCACTTTGCCTGAAGTCCCTGCTGAAAGATCAAGGCTGCATCTGCGTTGAAGGAGCAGCCATCTTCCTGTGGACCCACCACCTGCAGAGGATCAGCGAGGGACTGGTGCTTTGTGAATTGGGTGGCAGCTCTGATTGCCACCCCCCTGACCCAGAAATGGATAATAAAGGGATGAAAATGAATGAATGATAAATGAATGACAGGACCAAGCAGGTACTAAAAAAGTGCTTGGTACCAGTGAAACGGGGCCGGTGGAAACACTGCCAATCAGAGTAGGGCTGGTGGAACAGGGCTGTACAGGCCCACAGAAAGGTCCCGTTTGGCTTTGGGACCTATCTTGGTTCTGAGTAAATGGACTATACCAATATATACAGAGAGAGAGACAGAGAGCGAGAGAGACGGAGAGAGAGAGAGACGGAGAGAGAGAGAGTTATACAGATATAAGCTCCAAGTATAAAGCTGCAGGTTCCTCCTTCGCATCCATCAACAGCTTTTGTCTTCACTCCGGCCGGTCCCTCTCACCTTTCACTGCAGCCATTCAACAGCTGCCCATGTGAACCTCCAGAATTTACTAAATTATTCAAAAAGCACTTTGTGTTGGTATGAACGTGTGCATTCATACGTGACACCGGCTTTGGCTAAAGGGGGTCATTGTGTATCCTTTAACCACATACTCTTTTGGAGATGGTGTGTAAGATGGAACGGTATCATTGCAGAAGGCTGTCAGCTCTCATTCAAAACCCAGTTGGTATCATTGACAGCAGGACTTAAAGCCAGTGACGGCACTTTGAGGCCCCCAGCTTTGCCGGGATTTCACTTGAGGCCAGGTAAGCCACACCAATACTTACCACTTTACCCCCAGGGACTTCTACAACTGCTTCACATCCAGATATCTTTTCACTCCTGCTTGTTTTTATGAATAAAAGTGTCATTTTGATTTTTCCCTCTTCTCCAAAACTATAATTCCTGTTCCATATTTATCTTGAAGTTGAAATTGTCGCCTTTTATTTTGAAGGAGTAACCCACCAGTCTGTAAGTATGGTCCATGCACCCAAGCGGAAATCTGAAACTGCAACAAAAGAACCCAAAAATGTCAGACCAAAAGATAAAAAGACTGAGCCAAGTTCTGTTGAAGCTAAAAAGGGGACTAAAAACAAAGTGAATTCGCGCCAACCCAAGAAAATTGTTAAACCTTCTGACAAAGGAAATGACCCCAGGAGCAAGACCAACACAAGAGAAGCAGCAAAGTCCAGGGGGTCCAAACTAAACCCCTCCACAAAAGCAGAGCACAAGAGGAGCGACAAAGAGTCTGAAGATGAGAGCAATGATGCAACAGAGAGCGGTGACGGAAGCTCAGAGGAGGCTACAGAACCCGAGCTTGAGAAACGGCAGGAGGAGAAGGAGCTCAGCAGTGAGGAGAGCGGCCATCACGACATTGCACCTACAACCGAGCAAGAATCTGAAGCAAAAAGTGACTCCGACAGATCTGCCAGCGAGACTGACAAAGAACAACGCCTCAAACCCTCAAGCAAACGACAAAACAAGCAGGACGCGGTCAGTACGGAGTCTGCAGGCTCTGATGGAAGCGACCAAGAACTAGTCAAGAAACCAGCGGTCAGACCTCGCCGGAGAACCAACCCGAAAACATCTTCCAAGTCGGTGCATGTACGAGGCAAGAAGATGGTCAAGAAAAACAAGGCGGACAAGGAGGCAGAGAAACAGGAGAAGCGTTTAGCAAAAGCAGAAAAGCAGAGACTGGAGAAGGAGGCCAAGCTTAAGGCAAAAGAAGAAAAGAAAAACCAAAAGATTCTGAAAAAGCAAGATAAAGCGAAGAGTAGAAAACAAGATGGTGGACAATCAAAGAGGACGGACAACACTGAGGAGACTGGGCCTGCTGAGGATAGCACGGATAACGCTAGCGAGGAAGAAGAAGAAACGCTGGAGCCAAGTCTGTCCGCAGCCATCCAGGGACAAGATCGAGTGATGTTGCTGAAAAACAAAAGTAAAAACCTGCAAACCCTTCTGGAGTCTGGGGGGAAAGAAGAAGATGAAACCGAGGCGAGTCCAGATCAGAGCTTTCTCCTGAAAAAGGCCCAGATGAAGGCACTGCAGAAAAAGACCAACTTGATGCTGAACAAATGTAAACTCGGAGAGGAACTGTCTCCCGCCAAAGCTGCAGATCGAGAACTCGAAACCAGCAAAGTCTCAAAACAATTGCTATCAGGGAAAAAGGGGATGACGACGCTGAACAAAATGTCTGGTTGGATTCAGAAGAAAATGCACAAAGGTTGTAATTTACGCACAAAGATTTCGGTTTGGGCCAAAGCTATCGGGTTGTCTCGTTGGCTTTCAGCTCAGGCAGGGAAGCGAAAGCAAAGTAGCGGGAAAAAGAAAAGCAATCTGTTCAAACACACGATGGCCGTCAAAGCTGCGGGAAAAGGCACCTTTGCCAGTAAGAAAAGACAAGCTTCTGAGGTTGTGAAAGAAAAGGAGACTGTGGTGGAAGGGTCATCAGGAGTAGAGGAGCGGTCATCAGAAGACAAAGAACTAGAGGCTAAGTTTGCTGTTGTTTTGCCGAGAATGAATAAAATCAATAAGTCAAAAACCAGCAGTGTAGAAGGAACATCAGCAATACCAGGGTCCACCGCAGGAACATCCACAAACGGCCAATCCAAAGCTCCAAAAGCAGGGGCCCGGCTTGTTCTCCCGGTTAAACCTGACCTCACTCTGCTCAAGTCCATCAAGAAGCCAATGGCAGTGGGTGAGCGTGCTGCTGCAGAAGAAGAAGATGGCGACGGATCAGCAGAAACACCACAAGTCTCTGAGAATGAAGCGAGAAAACCAGTCCTCACAAGCCTGAACGACAGCGGCATCTTCCAGTCCGCAAGAGCAAAGATGGGTCCTTCATTGCGGAACATACCGGCAAGAAACGAAGCTGCACCAGAGCTAGCCGCGGCCGGAACAAATGTGGCGGGAAGGAGAGTGGCTAACGTACGACGATCTATGTACGAAGAGGAGACGGACAGGGAAGTGGCCGAGCTCATGGGAAGCAGAGGACTCTACACCATCGTTCAGCCGGACATGCACTGGGCGGAAAACCCCTCCATGACCGGAGACCCGCAGGTAGACGCAAAACACCTTAAATTACTGTTGTTATTATTAAGTATGTTATGTTTATGGCGGGTGAAAGCATGGCGTCATGAAGATGTAACCGTTTTGCCCTGATCCTTGTGATGTTAAAGGTCAGGTCTGCAAATTAGCTGTTAGCTAAACGTCCTGTAACGATGCTTTTTGGTTCTGTCCCGATCAAATAAACTTATAATAATAAACTAAATTACTTTTTCCATAGTCTTAAACGTGCTGAGAAGAGGTTATTCGGCTCGGATAAGGAGTGTGGAATGATGTCCCTGGAAAACACTTTAGTCACCAACTGATGGACTATCAAACCCATTGTTACCAGTTGTATACATGGTACCAAACAAGTATCAATCAATAAATCTGTCTATAGTTGTAGAGCGGTTTGAAATCACATTAAAATCCAAACTTTTCCAACATCTGCTGAGCTGCTGTAACAATGCTTTTATTTATTTATAGAATATATCTTAATCTTAGACAGACTTTATTGATCCACAGGGATATTGCGTTAATATAAATGATTAATAATGATTACAAATACAAAAGTGCTTGTTCAGGGATATCTTATTTTTGACATATCTCTCAGGGAGTTGTTTGTTTAAAGTGATAGTCTGGAACTCTAAATGAATTACAAATTTTAGGAATTGTATTAAATTGACCTCCTGGCCTTAAATTTGATGAATCCTAATATTATGGGTAAGTCCCGCCTTCTCTACTCTAAGCTATAGCTCAAAAACCACGATGCCGTCCACGTTAACCAATCAAGTGATGCCAAGGGCTGTCAATCATTTATATACTGAACCTATATCCATAATCATTTATATACTGAACCTATATCCATAATCATTTATATACTGAACCTATATCCATAATCAGATGTGTCCTATAATGTTCTACTAATGATAATAGTACTTCCTGGTTTGGCGCGATCACTTCTTTTTATGCATTAAAACATTATTTTTGTCATGAAAACATTATTTTTGTCATGAAAACATTATTTTTGTCATGAAAACGTGAACAAATAATTCTGAAAACCTCTGTGCATGTGTTTTAATAATGTATAAGTATAATGTGTTTTCAGATTAAAATTTAAATGTGTTGATTGATTGTTACGGAAATGTAGGTGTAGACCAATCAGAAAGGAAAGGGGAGGAGCTTGGGTTGTTTTTTTTTCAAATCATGTACCTCTCTGTCTTTCTGACAAACTCCAGACAAACACTTTAACTGAAAAAACAGTTCAAATGGACTTTTACTTTCACAAACGTATGATTAATTCCACCGCCCTGTAAAAAACTGTAAAACATTCAAAGAAAAACAACAAATAGAAACGTTTTAGTCAAATGTGTTGTTTTCGAAATGACCGCTTCTGATTGGTTTAGAACTGGTTGCGAGCTGAGAACCTGCTGCCTCATCAAACGGTGGAGAAACTGACCCGATGGACCGTTTACGATGAAGAACGACAGACCAAGACCACGGCGGCCAACAAGAGCAAGGGATTGTGGGAGTCTGAGGACCCCACTCAGGACATGCTGGAACACAGGCTGCACAGCACACAGGTACAAGGCCCTTTAAAGTAGGTTTGATCTGTTTCTGGACAAACCTCAGCAAAGAAAAGATGCAGAAACAGAAAAGGTGATGTCCTACTGTATGTTCATGTGTTTGCTTGTTTTGTGTTAAAGGTTGCGTTGCCAGGTAGTAACAAACTTGTGGAGGTGGATGAGCTGGAGGACCTGTCCCAGTTAGAGTAAGATGTCTAATAATAATAATAATAATGTGTGGTTATGGAGTTAGTGAGTCGGATTAGGTCTAAAAAGATGAGTTTAGAGCAGCTGTCTCCAACCTTTTTCACCCAGAGAGCTACTAAAGGCAGAGAGCTACTCCTTCAAGCGTCCTGGGAAACATTTGTTGACTTGATTTGATTGTTTGATTTGTTGCTAGTGCTCAAAGTTAGTGCATTTACAATTGTATTATTTAATTTGTTCATTTCTAAATCCTTTGGCGAGCTACCTGGAAGGGGGTGGAGAGCTACTAGTTGGAGAGCCCTGGTTTAGACAAATGCTATTTTCAAATCTGGCAACGCTTGTGTTTTCAGAGAGGTGAACGAGAGCTCTGTGTTGTTAAACCTGAGGAAGAGGTTTCAACGGGACACGATTTATGTAAGTTTCACTCGAGTTGAGGCACAAAAAGATGATTAGATTATTATGATTTCTGTGTCCAACTTTTTAAACTTAAAGAAGAAATAGAATGAATTATTTGTAACCAGTAGAAAGCATTATGAGTCTTTATACTTTGTCATCTACAGTAGATTGTGAAATGATGGGTAATGTAAAGTATGAAGGGTATTTGGGTGTGGGGATGTTTTTTGCCAAATTTGAAATTCACCGCCTGCAAACACTTCTTGTTGACTGCAAATAATGTAACTTAATGTGAGAAATTTACAGAACTAATTTATGAGCAATACTTCTGTCTTAAAAGAGCAGTATTTAAACATGTGGCCAAAAGTGGTACTGCACCTCTCCCACTCTCCCTGACTCAGGTTGCCAGATATGCAGACGAATCCAGCTGGGACCATAACAGCTGAATAGACAAGAGTTTTGTCAACAACAAATCTATAACCAACACCTTTTTCACAAAGATAGAAATCCTGGTTTTATTCCTTGTTTTGTCGTTAATGATTTGAGAATCATAACGAGACCTTTTTTAGTTCTGCGCCACATGGTACTTTACCAGTGAGATTAGCTCCATGCGGTGAGTTCTGTTGCCCGGATCACAGACTTTCTGATTGGTGAAAGGGTGGAGGGCGGGACATCGAAATGAAAACTAAATTTAGCGACTGTAAAAGTAATTTAGTACAGGTGACAGGTTAGGGCCCTTTAATGATGACAGGTTAGGGCCCTTTAATGAGGACAGGTTAGGGCCCTTTAATGAGGACAGATTAGGGCCCTTTAATGATGACAGAATAGGGCCCTTTAATGATGACAGGTTAGGGCCCTTTAATGATGACAGATTAGGGCCCTTTAATGACAGATTAGGGCCCTTTAATGATGACAGATTAGGGCCCTTTAATGAGGGGCGACAGTAGCTCAGTTGGCAGAGCATTGGCCTCTGAGCCTGAAGGTCGTGGGTTCAAGCCCACCGTAAGACCTACTTCACGACTCCCACTGATGACTGCTGTCGTTGTGTCCTTAGGCAAGACACTTAACCCCACTTTGCCTGAAGCCCCCGCTGAAAGATCAAAGCTCCTGTGGACTCACCACCTGCAGGAGGATCAGTGAGGGGCTGGTGCTCTGTGACTGGGTGCAGCTCTGGCCACCCCCCCGACCCAGAAATGGATTAAGGGGAAGAAAATGGATGGATGGATAATGAGGACAGATTAGGGCCCTTTATTGATGACAGATTATGGCCCTTTAATGAGGACAGATTATGGCCCTTTAATGAGGACAGATTAGGGCTCTTTAATGATGACAGATTAGGGCCCTTTAATGAGGACAGATTAGGGCTCTTTAATGATGACAGATTAGGGCCCTTTAATGAGGACAGATTAGGGCCCTTTAATGAGGACAGATTAGGGCCCTTTAATGAGGACAGATTAGGGCTCTTTAATGATGACAGATTAGGGCCCTTTAATGAGGACAGATTAGGGCCCTTTAATGAGGACAGATTAGGGCTCTTTAATTATGACAGATTAGGGCCCTTTAATGCTGACAGATTAGGGCTCTTTAATGATGACAGATTAGGGCCCTTTAATGAGGACAGATTAGGGCCCTTTAATGAGGACAGATTAGGGCTCTTTAATGATGACTGGACATGAAAATCTTACATATTTCTACTTTAAAGGCAGAAAAAGAAAAATGCCCTTTCTGTGATATCGTAGTGGTTCAATGACATCACACTGTTACAGGACTGAGACGGGAGATTTTAGACAGAAGGGGCGGAGCTACACGTTCCTGACAATAGCCATCTAAATATCTGAAAACAACTCCTGATCTGTTTGTGAAGAGCCTGTAACATGATTAATAAAAGGAGAGAGAAAGTCGTTTGCATAACACGTCTCCTTTAAGATGTTACAATAAAGAATGCGGCTTATTTTCAGACCTACATTGGAAACATCCTGCTGTCCATCAACCCTTTCAAGCCTCTGAATATTTACACGGATGAAATGCGGCTGAGATACCAAGGCCTGGAGCAGCACAGGAACCCTCCGTAAATACACCAGTCTTATCTCTCCAGTGAAGTTCTGTTTCCTGTTTGTGAAAGGCCTGCTCTGTGTCTCGCAGTCACGTGTTCGCGGTCGCAGACGCCGCTTATAAACAATCCCAGGTCTCGCTTCAAGAACACTGCATCATCGTCAGGTACTTCCTGCTTCATCCTCCACAGCGTCACAAAGTATTATGTTTAAAGACATCTGTGTTTTCTGTTGTTAGCTGTAGAAAAATGTATTTATAGATCTATAAATACATCTATAAATACCAGACACTGTCTGGTGTTAGGTTAGCAAAGCCTAATAAGCAACTATATTTAGTTATATGGCACCGTACATAGATTAGGGCCCTTTAATGAGGACAGATTAGGGCCCTTTAATGATGACAGATTAGGGCCCTTTAATGAGGACAGATTAGGGCCCTTTAATGAGGACAGATTAGGGCCCTTTAATGAGGACAGATTAGGGCCCTTTAATTATGACAGATTAGGGCTCTTTAATGATGACAGATTGGGGATGTTTAACGATGACAAATTAGGGCCCTTTAATGAGGACAGATTAGGGCCCTTTAATGATGACAGATTAGGGCCCTTTAATTATGACAGATTAGGGCCCTTCAATGATGACAGATTATGGCTCTTTAATGATGACAGATTAGGGCCCTTTAATTATGACAGATTAGGGCCCTTCAATGATGACAGATTATGGCTCTTTAATGAGGACAGATTAGGGCCCTTTAATGAGGACAGATTAGGGGCCTTTAATGAGGACAGATTAGGGCCCTTTAATGAGGACAGATTAGGGCCCTTTAATGCTGACAGATTAGGGCCCTTTAAGGCTGACAGATTAGGGCCCTATAACGATGACTGGACATGAAAATCTTACATATTGCTACTTTAAAAGCATCAAATTGCCCTTTGTGTGATGTCATAGTGGTTCCATGACATCACACTACTTAAACACACACAAAAAACATTACACACACACGTCACGTTACAAATGTCTATTAATAATTATATTCCTACGCCGTAAAGATGGCGCCGTGGCAAGAGCTCTGGTGTGTGCCGTCTTCTCTGTCGGGTGCACACTGGGCTAGTCTTGCACAGTTTTTCCAATGTGGTTTTACTGCAAATGGCAAATAAAAATCTTTTTCTTGTTTTCTAGTGGACAAAGCGGATCTGGAAAGACTGAGGCCACTAAGCTCATAGTGCACTACCTCAGCTGCATGTACGAGGACGGGAACGCCACCTTAAGGCAGGTCAGTCACGGATCTATAAGAGAATTCAGAATCATTTATACTTAAAACTCTACAAAAGTAACGTGGAAAATTCAAAGGCTCTAAAGGCTCCATAAAGTCATGAAGGCTCTGAGTCAAAGCTGTTCCCACTAGCCCTGTTCACACTAACCCTGTTTACGCTAACCCCGTTTACGCTAACCCTGTTTACGCTAACCCTGTTTACGCTAACCCTGTTTACGCTAACCCTGTTCACGCTAACCCTGTTTACGCTAACCCTGTTTACGCTAACCCTGTTTACGCTAACCCCGTTTACGCTAGCCCCGTTTACACTAGCCCCGTTTACACTAGCCCCGTTTACACTAGCCCCGTTTACACTAGCCCCGTTTACACTAGCCCCGTTTACACTAGCCCCGTTTACACTAGCCCCGTTTTCACTAGCCCCGTTTACACTAGCCCCGTTTACACTAGCCCTGTTTACACTAGCCCTGTTTAAACTAGCCCTGTTTACACTAGCCCTGTTTACACTAGCCCTGTTTACACTAGCCCTGTTTACACTAGCCCTGTTTACACTAGCCCTGTTTAAACTAGCCCTGTTTACACTAGCCCTGTTTACACTAGCCCTGTTTACACTAGCCCTGTTTACACTAGCCCTGTTTACACTAGCCCAGTTTACACTAGCCCTGTTTACACTAGCCCTGTTTACACTAGCCCTGTTTACACTAGCCCTGTTTACACTAGCCCTGTTTAAACTAGCCCTGTTTACACTAGCCCTGTTTAAACTAGCCCTGTTTACACTAGCCCTGTTTACACTAGCCCTGTTTACACTAGCCCTGTTTACACTAGCCCTGTTTAAACTAGCCCTGTTTACACTAGCCCTGTTTACACTAGCCCTGTTTACACTAGCCCTGTTTAAACTAGCCCTGTTTACACTAGCCCTGTTTACTCTAGACCTGTTTACACTAGCCCAGTTTACACTAGCCCAGTTTACACTAGCCCAGTTTACACTAGCCCAGTTTACACTAGCCCTGTTTACACTAGCCCTGTTTACATCAGCCCAAACTCCACTCTACTCTGCCTGGTTACCTACCAACATACCTACAACAAACCATATGTGGAATTTCCTTGGTAACCATGGCTTCCAGCAGCATTCCAGCCAATCACCGTCACTGAGTACACTTTAGTACCAGCTCGGCCTGGCTAGAACCAGGGCTAAGCAGCTACTAAAAATAGGTGCCTGGTACTGATTCAACATGGCAGGTGGAAACCCTCCCAATCAGGGTAGAGCTGAGTAGAGTAGGGCCAAGTCGGGCAAACGGGGGTTACAGTACAGTCTAGAATGCAAAAAGTAATCACAATGTTAGTCTTTGCACTTTTGGCACACACTTTTGGTCTCTTGTCTCAGTGAAATACCAAAAAAAAAAAACAGTAAAAAACCTTATGCAGGTTTTTTTATTTTTTATTGTGGATTTGAAAATTGCATCACAGTTCAATCAATTAATGTCGATCTGAAATAGATTCCGGCAAAAAAAAAAATCCTTGTGTTTTTAATGAATTTACATTGTCTCGGCCTCAAACCTGTGTGTGACGTCACAGCGGGTAACGCCCATGCACTAAAATGGATCAAAGCCATGGATCTCTGCCACAGATATGCTCCATACTGACCTCTGACCTCTCCTCTCCGCCGATGTCTGACGCAACACTGCACTCTACAGGTGTCGACTGCTCATTACACGTAGATATTATATTGCCGTTTTCTGCACTGGAGTAAAAACGTTGTCCGACTCAGATTCGCTGTAACAGACTATCACAGCGCCATTTCCACGGAGCACACTTGTTTCGTTTTGCTGTATCCACTTTGACATTGAAGCAAATTCGCAAAACAGTCCACGGGGAAATGTTGAGAGCACAACATCGGACCACACTTCCCAGAACTGCCAACGGAAGGCTGCCCATTCCTCCTCTGGATTTGGATGAATGTGCAGCACTTGTCGTCGGATAAATGAAAGCTCAGAGTGTTTAGGATTATCCTTATTTTTAATTGGCGTTAGCACTGAAACACAAGAGAAACGACATCACCAACGCATTCCTCGTCTGAGCACACTCTTCAATTAGGACCCCCCCAAGTCCCCCCCCCCCCCCCCCCAAGCTGTCTCAACCATGCCTGCGTGGGTCACCTGATTTATTACAGCGTTATTGTTATACATGTTAATTATCATGGGTCCCACAAATGCCGTCCAAAGCATTGCTCTTTTTTTATCCTTTGGCCCCTCATGAAGCTTGTTGTGCGTTCAAGAGCAGTGCATTGCCAAACGCCGACTTCTTGAATATCCACGAAAAAAGACACACATTGTACAGCCGGTTGAAACGTACCCGCTCTGACGTCACCAAGGGAGAAGAGGCTGGGAAATGCTATGGTCTTTTCTCCATTTGGGGGGATCAGACAAAAAAAACAATTGATTTTGAAACCTTTAGTAGATCTCTTCTAATAGTAGAATAGTAAGTAGATCTAATGGTTCCAAAGTCCCTAATAATAGCCAACAATGGGGGAAGCTGAAAGTCTGAAGGATATCAAGGCTGCGCTCAACTTTCTCTCTGAGGAAGTGGTTACGATGAGAAATGAGCAGAAGGTGATACTAGAGTTGGTAAAGGAAGTGGCATCTCTGAAGACGCAACTCAATGAAAAGGATAAAAGAATCTCACACCTGGAGTACAGACTGGAGGACCTTGAGCAGTACACAAGGAGGAACGACGTCATCGTGACCGGTCTCAAATTACAACCCAGGTCCTATGCCAGTGCTGTGAGCAGAGAGAGTGTGGAGGAATCTGCAGATCAGGATGTCATCTCTAGCTCAACAGAGATGCAAGTGGCATCATTCCTGTGGTCCAAGGGGATCGAGTTAAACTGCAGCGCGATTGAGGCATGTCACCCGTTATCCAGGAGGAAGACCGGTGATACAGTTGACAACCCGGCCATCATTATCAGATTCGTGAATCGAAAGGATAAGGCTGCGCTCCTTAAGCAAGGACGCAAGCTGAAGGGCTCCAATGTGTACTTAAATGATCACCTTACAAAACAGAATGCTGATTTGGCACGGAAAGCTCGAGATTTAAGGAGGCAAAGCAGAATCCAAAGCACCTGGACAAATAATTGTAAAGTTTTCATCAAGCTGAACGGAGCGTCACCAGAGGAGGCAAAAGTGCTATTGATAAGGAAAATGGAGGACTTGGTGAAATACAACTGAGGGCCTCTTAGGTCACAAAGTTTAAGGTAATAGCCACACAATCACATACAGTACTGCAGAATGACACTACCCATGGAAATACAAAGTACAAAATACATTGACAACCTGAGGTCATATATCAAGATGAACGATCAAGAACTAATATCTTATGAAAACACTGACCATGATGAAGTGGACTATGATATTGACCCTGATAACAACTTCTTTACGCAATGTAAAAATAATTGTCGTTATTATTCAGAAGATGAATTTAATCAGTGGGGCGACAGTAGCTCAGTTGGTAGAGCACTGGCCTTTGAGCCTGAAGGTCGTGGGTTCAAGCCCACCACGGGACCTTCTCCACCGACTCCCACTGATGACTGCTGTCGTTGTGTCCTTAGGCAAGACACTTAACCCTGCATTGCCTGAACCCCCCGCTGAAAAATCAAGGCTGTATTGTCACTGACAGAGCAGCCGTCCTCCTGTGGACTCACCACCTGCAGAGGATCAGTGAGGGGCTGGTGCTAAGTGAATTGGGTGCAGCTCTGACTGCCACCCCCCGACCCAGAAATGGATTAAGGGGAAGAAGATGGATGGATGGATGGATGAATTTAATCAAAAAATAAATGTCAATGGATCCTTTTCACTCATTCACTTTAACAGTAGAAGTTTATACTCAAATTTCGATCACATTAAGCATTATTTACAGCAGTTCACACAACCATTCAGTGTAATTGCTGTAAGTGAAACATGGATAAATCTGGAAAAAGGAAGTGATTTCAATTTGGAGGGCTATGAATTTATAAATGTAAATCGACAAAACCAAGGGGGAGGGGGTGTTGGATTATTTATACATAATTCGCTGAAGTTTAAATGCATTGATAATATGACAACAGTTATAGAGGATATTTTGGAATGTTTAACAATCGAAGTTTATCATGAGCACAAGCATATAATTATTAGCTGCATATATAGGAAGCCAGGTTCTAAAGTAGAGACATTTAGAGACTGGGTTGAGGAAACATTTGCACAAATGAGTCACAAATCTATGTTAATCTGTGGAGATTTTAATATTGATCTAATAAATTCAGAGAATCATAAATCAACAGAAGACTTTATCAACACAATGTACAGTATGAGTCTGCATCCACGCATAAACAGACCCACTAGAATCACTCCTCATAGTGCATCACTAATAGACAATATATTTGCTAACAATTTTGTTAATGATTCTGAAAGTGGAATACTTGTCTGTGACATCACAGATCACCTACCTGTGTTCACAGTTTTAAATGATTGTCACAATAAAACGAAAGTAGACACAAAGTCTGAGTATAGGAGAGTCAAATCAGCAGAAGCATTAATTTCTTTCAAAAATGACCTGCTTAATCAAAATTGGGAAAATGTATACGGTAGCTCTGACACCAATATGGCCTACAATAAATTCTTAGATATTTATTTGTCAGCATTTAATAAAAATTGTCCGATACAGAGATACAAAAGAAGAAGGAAAGGAAATGACTGTCCATGGATAACTAAGGGTCTTGCTAAAGCATGCAAAAAAAAGAACAGACTATATAAGCAGTTCCTGGTAAAAAGAACAGAAGAAGCAGAGTATTTTGTTAATATTGGGCGGAGCTTGCAACTAAAGTTCCTGATTACTGGAACGTTAGGAAATGACGTAAATCATTTCATGAAGACAAATCCACATTCAATATTTCTAAGTGCTGTTGATGAAGCTGAGGTTGTGAATTTAGTTAGGGAATGTAATAATATGAAGTCAGCAGACTGTGATGGAGTGGATATAGTGGTGGTGAAAAAGTTATTGATGTAATTGCCAAACCATTGGTGCAAATATTTAATCTTTCATTCCAGACGGGCATTCTTCCCTACAAAAATGAAAAAGGCAAAAGTTATCCCTCTTTATAAAACTGGCGATGTTCTATCACTTCACAAATTTTTTGTTACCGACCTGTCTCTATACTGCCACAATTCTCTAAAATACTAGAAAACCTTTTTTGTAAAAGATTGGAAAAATGTATTCACAAATATGACATTCTCTCTCTGAGAGTCAATATGGCTTCAGGGCTCAAAGTTCAACTGCTTTGGCCCAATTTAATTGATACAATAGATAGAAATCACAAACTATCTAGATAATAAGAAAAATATGCAATTGGTATTTCTATTGATTTAAAAAAGGCCTTCGACACCATAATCATAAAATGTTAATGCAGAAATTACAGCATGTATGGTATCAGAGGTGTGCTTCCACCACTGGGTAGAGAGCCTATCTAACAGACAGGCAACAGTTTGTGAAGATGAATGAAAAGTGCTCCTCATGTCTGCACATTTCCCTGCGGTGTCCCACAGGGGCGTCAGTGCTGGGACCTAAAATTTTTCATTTTGTTCATCAATGATATTTGTAATGTGTCAAAACTACTCAAGCTCGGATTATTTGCAGATGACACCCAATATTTTTTTATCTGATGTGTTAAATTTGAAGACAATCTGGCCAACTATAGCAGGGGAAATGATGGAATTTTCAGTCTTGGTTCAACAGTACAAATTATCTCTAAAATTTATGTAAAAACAAATACTAATGTTCTTTGGAAATAGTAAAAATAATTCTGATATAATGGTGTGTTAGATGGCACAAAACATTGAGGAGGGTTAGTGAAACTAAATTCTTAGGGGTGATAATAGATGAAAAACATTACCTGGAAAGCACACATTAGATTACGGTGTACGACCAACTAGCCAGAAGTATTGGAGTTTTGGCCAAAAAGCTAGACAGAAAAACTGGATCAAAGATTCTCTTTATTTATTATATTGTACATTTAGTGTGTACCGTATTTGAGTATTGCGCATGAGGTTTGGGGGAACATTACAAAATCCTATATCAATACTTTGTCTTCAGAACACGAACAGATCCATCCTCCAAAGTGGGATTATGAGGGAGCCCAACTGATTTATTTAAAAGGCAAAAATACTAAAATTCACTGACTATTTGATTATCTAAGTTTTAATATGTACCAAGCAATAATTAAAAAAATCTACTAATTCAAAGTTCAAAAATTTAGAATTCAGGATGGTGTCAAAGCATTCACCGGTCCTATCCACCTTCACAGTGCGAGGCAAAACAACTAGAAAGTAGTTTATTGTGTCTCTATCTAGTTGGTTGCAGGCTCTGGCACGCCTGAAAGTGAGGAGCTGAAGGGAAGACTAGCATTCGAACATTTACCAGGATTCCAAAGAACCAATTAAGGTGATATTCTAAGAGCGGGACAAAAACTTTACTAGGTAGGCAATTAATTCATATACCGGGAAACCACAATGTCGGGAGTATATATTAAAAAGGGAAAATAATATATAGGAAAATAAAAAAATAAAAATAAAAACTATATATATTTAGATAATTAAAACAGAAAACATGTAGATGTGTTCACATGCCTATAGTGTAAGCTGATAAGTGTAAATGTGTTAATATATGTTTATATGCGTAGACATGTATATGTATGTATGTACATGTGTTTATGTATATGTATGTATGTATCTGTGTAGGTGTATGTATAGTGTATATATGTGTATTTTGATATAGATGTATAGACAGAGAGAGAGACTATAAATGTATCATTATTTATTTTATTATCATTATTATTATCTGTATCTTCTAGCATAGGTTAAGGTGAAGTACGTTTGCTAATTTGCAAAAAATCAGAAAATTCTACTGATGACTACGAGATATAGCCTACAGGGGTGGGAGTATATAAGTTTTACTTCTTCTCACTCCTTTTTCGAGTTGATACTTGGTTATTTAAAATAAATGTGTATTGTAAATCTCAGTTGTGTATATTGAACTCGAAATAAAAACATTTCATTCATTCATTCAAAAAAATATAAAATGGTATTAAACTGTATTTCTAAATAAATCAAACCCTGCATAAGGTCTTTAAACAATATTGTTGATGTTATTCTTTGTCCCGTCTCTGTAACTCAAGCAGCCCATGGAGGTCTTTCACATCCTGGAGAGCTTTGGAAATGCCAAAACCATCCTGAACGACAACTCCAGTCGCTTTGGAAAGTACTTACACATTCACATCCTCCGGTGAGTAACCCCTGCTCCTGCCGCTCCCTCGGGCTCGCACTGGTCCTTAAGCCTCCTCCTGCTCCACAGCGGCTCCGTCGTCGGGACCTCGCTCTCACAGTACCTCCTGGAGAAGTCGCGAGTGGTTTTCCAGGTGAGTAAACGTGTTAGAGTCAGGATTACAGTGGGATTTCTTGGGTGCAAATGTAGAAAAGAGGAACAGAAGAAGTCAGTTTGTAAAGACCCAGAATCAAACTGTTTCAAACACAGAGAATGCCAAAAAATAATTTAAAAAATGAATCAGAACTGTCCTTGGGCTCTTCTGCTTTGGTGCAGAGTAACTGAAAAGACCCAGAGGGAAAATGTGAGAAAACTTGGGGAAGCTGGATTGTACTGTAGATAGATATAAAATATTACATACACGTATTAGTACTACAGTATACTATCTCAGAACCACATTGAAATAGAATTGTAAAATAAGATCGGGAAAGTGAAATATTATATTATAATAAACACATGAAGTGAAATGATCCTTTCTATTTTACCCATACAGTGATGTTCTTTGTCTGTCTGTCTGTCTGTCTGTCTGTCTGTCTGTCTGTCTGTCTGTCTGTCTGTCTGTCTGTCTGTCTGTCTGTCTGTCTGTCTGTCTGTCTGTCTGTCTGTCTGTCTGTCTGTCTGTCTGTCTGTCTGTCTGTCTGTCTGTCTGTCTGTCTGTCTGTGTATCAGGCCAGCGAAGAGAGAAACTTCCATGTGTTTTATGAAATGTTAGCTGGAATGAAGGAGTGGGACAAACAGGAGCTGTTTCTACAAGGAGCAGAGACTTACTACTACCTCAACCAGGTACAGAGGAGACACAATGATACAGATATATATATATATATATATATATATATCTAGCAGCTGGATAGCTCAGTTGGTAGGGCACAGGACTGGGACCTGGGAGGCCAGGGTTCGAATCCCACCGGGAGCACATTAACACCAACATCCAGTGAGGGTCCTTGGGCAAGACCCTTAATGCTACTGCCTAACTCATAACCATGAAGGTACAAATAAGCAATGAGATGCCGGATCAGCTGTCGCCCGGCCAAACAAGGTCTGCGTCAGGTGCTGGGGAACCAGAGCACCTTGATGAAAAGTGGGCTACTGGAACAAGGCGAAAGTGGACGAGATGCGATAACAGGGCTCTGTTGGAATGCTACTACTCGAGTAACCCTGGCCAAAGAGGTTACATGCAGAGAATGTGGGCTGAATGGTTACTTCGAAACCCACAGTCACAGTTGACCCCGAAACAACTGGTAGCTCAATGCTCCAACATCCACAAACGGCAACTGCTATCACAGCTTGAGATTGATGAAGTACAACACATATATGATGCCACAGTTGCCGAGGTCAGAGGGGAGATCCCACCCACTGCAACTCCCCAACCAGATATTGGGTGCATAGCCCCAATGGAACCGATAACGCTGAACGAGGCAGCGACTGACCTGAAAGCTAAGATCATGGCTAGAATGGGCACAGGGCAAAGACACCGGTTACAGCGGTTGTGTGAAGTACCACCTAAGGATCTCATAGAAATGCAGCAGTGAGGGCAATACCTACCACCACAATCACTGAAACCAATGAGCTGATATACACTTCAGCAGCAGTGATCCTAGAGATGCTTGGCTATAAGAGCAACCATGGGAGCCATGGACAATACCCACCATGGAAAAGACGGTTGGAGGCTAAGATCAAGGCGGCTCGGAGAGAAGTGAGTCAATTAACAGAGGCCCAGAGAGGTGCAATGAAAAGACCAGTACCCAGAAAGTACAGCCAGATGACCATACCTGAAGCACTCGAAACTGCCAAACAAAGGCTCCAAGCCCTGGCCAGCCGCCTACAGAGGTACACTAAAGAGAATGAAGCCAGAAGGGTGAACAGGCTGTTCGCAACACAACCTGCGAAGGTGTACGCTCAGTGGCAGGGTAACAACAGGGGAGCAGATCCACCGAGGCTGGAAACTGAACAGTTCTGGAGGAACATATGGGAGAAGGATGCAGCACATAACAGAAGTGCACAATGGCTGGTGTCCCTGAGAGAGGAGCACAGCCACCTCCCAGAACAGAACTCAGTTACCATCACAGAGGCAGACATCCGAGAAAGAGTCTCAGGTATGAAAAACTGGACAGCACCTGGCCCTGATATGGTCCATGCCTACTGGCTAAGGACACTCACATCACTCCATGAGCGCCTAGCAGCACAAATGAACCAGCTGCTGAGAGATGGGACTCACCCAGAATGGCTAACCGAAGGGCGAACGGTCCTGATCATGAAGGACCCTGTCAAGGGTCCCCTCCAACTACCGGCCAATAACCTGTCTCTCCACCACATGGAAGCTCATGTCAGGCATCATTGCGGCTAAGATAAGTGGGCATATGGAACAATTCATGAGCACAGCACAGAAGGGCATTGGTAGGGACACCAGAGGAGCCAAACACCAGCTCCTGGTTGACAGAACAGTCGCCCAAGACTGCCGGTCACGACACACCAACCTGTGCACAGCCTGGATTGATTACCAGAAAGCCTACGACTCAATGCCACACACATGGATCATGGAATGCTTGAAGTTGTACAATATCAACAGGGCTCTAAGGGACTTTGTTGCAAACTCGATGGGAATGTGGAAGACCACCCTTGAGGCAAATGGCAAGCCGCTCGCACAAGTGACCATCAAATGTGGTATCTACCAAGGAGATGCTCTGTCCCCACTACTGTTCTGCATAGGCCTCAACCCTCTAAGCCAAGTAATTGACCAGACTGGCTATGGATACCGCCTCAGGAACGGAGCAAAGATCAGTCACCTCCTCTACATGGATGACATCAAGCTGTACGCCAAGAGCGAGAGAGACATCGACTCTCTGATCCAAACAACCAGGATCTACAGCCATGACATCGGGATGTCATTCGGGCTCGAGAAATGTAGCAGGATGGTGACTCGGAGAGGCAAGGTAGTCCACACAGAAGGGATCTCACTCCCAGAGGGAACAATAGCAGACGTTGAGGACAGTTACAAGTATCTCGGTATACCACAGGCAAATGGCAACCTCGAACAGGTGACGAGGAAAGCGGCAACTGCCAAATACCTCCAGCGAGTAAGGCAGGTCCTAAGAAGCCGGCTCAATGGCAAGAACAAGGCCCGGGCAATTAACAGCTACGCCCTGCCAGTGATCAGATACCCTGCAGGAATAATCAGGTGGCCAAAGGAAGAGATTCAGACCACGGATGTTAAAACTCGAAAGCTCCTTACCATGCATGGCGGGTTCCATCCCAAATCCAGCACCCTGAGACTGTACGTAAGCCGTAAAGAAGGAGGCCGAGGACTAGTGAGTGTGAGAGCCACTGTCCAGGACGAAACATCCAAACTCCATAACTACATCATGGAGAAGGCCAAAACGGATGACGTACTCAGTGAATGTCTCAGGCAGTGGCGAGATGAGGAGGTGCTGGAGGAGAGCCCATCATGGGAGAACAAGCCCCTACACGGCATGTACCACCGGAGCATAACAGAAGTGGCTGATCTCAAGAAGTCCTACCAATGGCTAGAAAGGGCTGGCCTACAGGACAGCACAGAGGCACTCATCATGGCTGCACAGGAACAGGCACTGAGCACCAGAGCGATAGAGGCCCAGATATACCACACCAGACAAGACCCAAGGTGTCGGTTGTGCAAAGAGGCACCTGAGACGATCCAACACATAACTGCAGGGTGCAAGATGCTGGCAGGGAAGGCCTACATGGAATGCCATAACCAAGTGGCTGGCATAGTGTACAGAAACATCTGTGCAGAGTATGGGCTGGAAACCCCAAGGTCTAAGTGGGAAACTCCTCCAAAGGTGGTGGAAAATGAGCGTGCGAAGATCCTGTGGGACTTCCAGATACAGACCGACCGAATGGTAATGGCAAACCAACCTGACATCGTGGTGGTAGACAAAGGGCAGAGGACAGCCGTGGTGGTGGACGTGGCAATTCCAAGCGATGGTAACATCCGGAAAAAAGAACATGAAAAGCTTGAGAAATACCAAGGTCTCAGAGAGGAGCTGGAGAGGGCCTGGAGGGTAAAGGTGACAGTAGTGCCCGTGGTGATCGGTGCACTCGGGGCAGTGACCCCGAAGCTAGATGAGTGGTTACAGCGGATCCCCGGAACAACCTCGGACATCTCGGTCCAGAAATGTGCAGTGCTAGGAACAGCAAAGATACTGCGCAGAACCCTCAAGCTCCCTGGCCTCTGGTAGAGGACCCGAGCTTAGAGAGGGATAACCGCCCGCGGAGGGCCAAAGGTGAGTGGACAATTTAATTTATTATATATATACTGTATATATAAGATATACATACAGATAAATATTCTAGACCCTGTAGAGAGTTGACAGACCCAGACAGATTCCAATATTTTGGCCATTTCTTGTGTGTAAATCCGTTTTAACATTGAGCCAATTTGGAGCTATCTCAAATGTGCAGTTAACACACGGCAGCCCAGGAATTTACAGGAACTGGAGGATTTATCATCTAATAATTTATTATTAGTTATTTTCTTCCAAAGGGCGGAGCTTGTGAGCTGAAGGGAAAACAAGACAAGCAGGACTTCCTCTTCTTGGTGCAGTGTTTTGAAACCATCGGTCTTCACCCTGATCAGATCAGTACCATGTGGGCGCTGCTCTCCTCCATTCTGCAGCTCGGAAACATCTGCTTCAGCTCCTACGAGGTCCACACACTACACAGAAAATCATCTTCATTATTATTATTATTAATATTATTATTATTACTATTGTTATTACTATTATATACTTCAGGCGGGAAGGCTGAGTGGTTAGCACACTCGCTTCTCAGCTAGAAGGTCCTGGGTTCAAATCCCGGTCAGAACAGGGCCTTTCTGAGTGGAGTTTGCATGTTCTCCCCGTGTCTGTGTAGGTTTCCTCCGGGTGCTCCAGTTTCCCCTACCACTAAAAACATGTACAATAGGTCTGTGCCTCCTGTACTGGCCCCTCCCATCTCTGTGTGGCCACAATTGTAAACCGCTTTGACTCTGGTCTGAGAAAGGCGCTATATAAATAAACATGACTTACTCTGGTCTTTAGTCTAGACCTGGGACAGTGGGAACACCAGCTGCAGCTAAACCATGCTAAACTGATGTTGTGTCCTTAGGCAAGACACTTCTCTCACACCCACACAGCATTACATCATCTCACATTCTCACAGTTACTGTACCTGCTAATATTAGTGACACTGGATTTTGTGATCTTGGTTTTGTTCCAGAGCGAGTCGTTCGAGGTGGCCCGGATCTTCAGCCAGTGCGAGGCCCGGAGGGTGGGCTCCCTGCTGCAGGTCTCCTCTGAGGCCCTGCAGACCGTCATCACACACAGAGTCACTGTCAGTGTCACTCAGCATCACACACTTATGGATTCTGATTTATTAAATAACACATGTTCATGGTTCATAAAGTATTCCATGAGTGAGTGAAAGACTGGAGGCATCTGTGGGAATGTAGTATTTCCACCTCTGTAAGAGCATTTAGTTACAACACATGTCACACGTTTGGAAAAGTAGGGACTCATTTTGCTCGAGTCTCTACTAGAACCAGGAAGTACCATCACATTAGTCCTGGTCTCAGGTCTCTGCACCTGTGGCTCAGAGAATAGACTTTTTATATAGACTTTTAGCAGTAAGTAAATTCATGACATAATAGTCCCATAAGAAAGGAGCACACCAGTCCAAGCAGGGACTGGTCTCCTGCTTGGACTCTGAGGAGCACAGGGACTGGTCTCCTGCTGGGACTCTGAGGAGCACAGGGACTGGTCTCCTGCTGGGACTCTGAGGAGCACAGGGACTGGTCTCCTGCTGGGACTCTGAGGAGCACAGGGACTGGTCTCCTGCTGGGACTCTGAGGAGCACAGGGACTGGCCTCCTGCTGGGACTCTGAGGAGCACAGGGACTGGTCTCCTGCTGGGACTCTGGGGAGCACAGGGACTGGTCTCCTGCTGGGACTCTGAAGAGCACAGGGACTGGTCTCCTGCTGGGACTCTGGGGAGCACAGGGACTGGTCTCCTGCTGGGACTCTGGGGAGCACAGGGACTGGTCTCCTGCTGGGACTCTGGGGAGCACAGGGACTGGTCTCCTGCTGGGACTCTGAGGAGCACAGGGACTGGCCTCCTGCTGGGACTCTGAGGAGCACAGGGACTGGCCTCCTGCTGGGACTCTGAGGAGCACAGGGACTGGTCTCCTGCTTGGAATCTGAGGAGCACAGGGACTGGTCTCCTGCTGGGACTCTGGGGAGCACAGGGACTGGTCTCCTGCTGGGACTCTGAGGAGCACAGGGACTGGTCTCCTGCTGGGACTCTGAGGAGCACAGGGACTGGTCTCCTGCTGGTCCCAGAGTCAGGACTAAACATGTGGAGAGGGTATTTCAGATTTATTTTCATCTAAAATCTGAAAATATGGGACCGGCTTCTACTCTGACAATGTTCAAATATAAATCTGTTAAAGTTGTATCTTGTTCTTTTACTATTTGTTTATTAAGAAATGAACCTGTGCACTCACTTGTTCAGGAAACCACTTACGACAGGATCTACTGCCCCCTGTCTGTGGAAAGTGCCATTGAATCCAGGTGACGCATCATCAAGTTAACCTGCTTTACATTTAAGATAAACTAATTTTAGCATAAACGTGTCCTCTGCTCTTCTTTAGAGACGCCATTTCCAAAGCCTTGTACTCGGTACTTTTTCATTGGCTCCTGGAGCAGATCAACAATTGGCTGAGTCCCGCTGAGATGGACAGCACAGTGGGCGTGGTGGACATTTATGGTTTCGAGGTGAGTCGGGTTTGAAGTCACTGTTTCACTTTGTAGAATCTAGAATCTAAAAATCACAATGACAAACGTAAAGCAGCTGCCTCCACTCTCTGGAACTGTTTAGAACTGTCTAGAACTCTCTGGAACTCTCTGGAACTCTCTTGAACTGTCTGGAACTCTCTGGAACTGTATAGAACTCTCTGGAACTCTCTTGAACTGTCTGGAATTCTCTGGAACTGTATAGAACTGTCTGGAACTCTCTGGAACTCTCTTGAACTGTCTGGAACTCTCTGGAACTCTTTGGAACTGTTTAGAACTGTATAGAACTGTATAGAACTGTATAGAACTGTCTGGAACTCTCTGGAACTCTCTGGAACTCTCTGGAACTCTTTGGAACTGTTTAGAACTGTTTAGAACTGTTTAGAACTGTATAGAACTGTATAGAACTGTATAGAACTGTCTGGAACTCTCTGGAACTCTCTGGAACTCTCTGGAACTGTCTGGAACTCTCTGGAACTGTATAGAACTGTCTGGAACTGTCTGGAACTGTTTAGAACTGTCTGGAACTGTCTGCAACTGTCTGGAACTCTCTCCTACCACACATCAGGAACTCAAACTCACGTAAAACGGCTCAAAACCAACATGTTTAAAACTGCCTTCACTTACAGCAGGTGCCACTGTGGGGCGGCTGTAAAGTGCCAAACTGTGGCTGTGCCCTTAGGCAAGACACTTCCTCCACATTAGAATGAGTCTGGTGTGTGTGAATGGTTGGTGGTGGGAGGGGCCGATGGCACAGACTTGCCTCGCTTCTGTCAGTGTGCCCCAGGGCAGCTGTGGCTACAGTAGTTTATCACCACCGTGTTTGGAGAGAAAGAATGATGAAGTGAAGAGTCATTGAGTCCAAAAAAGTGCTGTATAAAACCAGTGCATTCACTTAAAGGTACACAGGAGCGTTTTCTACTTCCAGGTGGATCAGCAAGACTATTGGTCCTCCCAGTTGTCAATCATTCTGGTAATTCGTTCTCGTCAAATAAGACCAAAGAGAGTTGTTAAAAAAGTGGAGAGTGCGGTTCTTTTCTAAAATTTGACCAGTCAGTTTCAATGGTATTTGCCAAAGCACTTGCTAATGTTCTTTGAAACTCACTCATCTGCTCCTTTAGAGATTAGTTTTTATTTAGAATGATACAGTGAAATAATATTAAAAACATGTTTGTGGCTTTGTTGTGATGGATTTGAACTGTTTTCTTTCCCAAAGGACTTGGCAGTGAACAGTTTTGAGCAGCTCTGTATCAACTTTGCCAATGAACAACTCCAGCACTTTGTCAACGAGGCCGTCCTCACTCAGGAACAGGTTTGTCTGATTCAAAGCTGCCGTAGATAACTGTCAGTCAGTAAAAGGAAGCAGTAAGACCTTGTAAATGTTTCCTTGTTCCTTGTGAAACTATGGAGCAGCTTTTACATAATAAAAAAGCACAGTATTTATCAAAATATACATCTAAACAATGTTAGATTCCCAATATACTTTCATTTCTAAGGGCTTATCCTCCAAACAAAATAAAGAAAGAAAATAGAATAAATAAATACATAAAAAGAGTGTAGGGGCCGGAGTGTACGTAACAAATGAATGTATGTTTTCTTTCTTGATGATACAGTTTGTAGCTTCCTCAATGTCGTCACACAGTTATGGAATAAGATTAACTTTTATATTTTAAAGTGGTTCTCACCCCCGCTCCTCGGAGCTTACGTCACTCACATTTCCTGTTCAAATCTTCCTCTAAATGGGCGTGGCCAGGAGGACTAAAGGGGGCGTGAACGAGACTGGGCCGTTTATATATATATTTTTTTATTTTTTTTATTAACGTTTATACATGTAGTTACAACAATGAGGAAATAGTGCCAGTGGATACATTACATACATTACACCAGAGGAAGATAATTCATAAAAAAATACCAAAAAAAAAATATACATTCATACCAAAAACATTAAGAGGAGCCAGGAGTAAGACTGTACTTTTCTAGTATATACATTGTTTTACCTGCTTTTTTATTTTGTATTGAAATAATAGTAGAAATATATAGGTTCATGTCTGCAAGAAAAGTATAGAAGTTTGGTTTTTTGTCAGCCCATTTCATTTTATGTAGGTGATATTTTCCCATTAAAATATAAAGCTGAATAACAAATTTCACATCTCTATCAATTTTTCGATCAAAATAGATACATACATCTTTGGCATTTAAAATAATTAATTGTCCAATTTTCCGGTAGAGATAGTTTTGAACATCAATCCAAAATATTTTACAGTACATGCATTCAAAAAACAAGTGTATAATTGTTTCCTTGTGTAGTCCACAGAAAACGCACGAAAAGTCAATATTCAGTTTAAACCGTTCCAGAACATGTTTTGCGGGGTATATTCTGTGAAGAATCTTAAAAGACACCTCCTTTATCTTGTTGGTTAGGCAGTATGTGTTTGTGACGTTCCATGCTTTCTTCCAATACATAGTTCCCACAGACCAATGAATGTCACATGACCTCCTCGGAGACGCCATCTTTGATGGCACGCTGCTGTGTTTGTGCATTCCATTAAACAGAAGAATGAGAATAAATGTAGATATTCAAACGCAAATTGGAAAAAAAGGTTAACTTTTGAGCAAATAATTGTATATTAATACAATGGCACCACAGTTTAACGTGCTACGGACATGTTTTACATATTTGATCAAATTATGCAGCAAAAATTAACAAGCAATGCAAACATTTCTCAAAAACTTTAGATTTAATACCAGTTGGAGCTCCATTTAATTATTTTAATTATATTAACAATTAATTTAATTAATGCTAATGCCACACGGACACTCTGGATTGCTGTTATTGTTTATTTCCGCGTTTTTGACCGTATGTTTTGGTGAATGGTGGGCAACTGATTTTTCCAGGCGTAAAGAGCAGTTTATTTTATGACACAGATCTTTTTACAGAAGCAATGCTGTTTGTGAACATTGTTTTAGCCCACCATAGAACTATTATTATCTATTTAATACATTTACGTTGCCCTCGAGAGCCTCGGACGCGACACCGATCCTCCTCATAATAAAGTAATCTAAATAATGAAACTCTCAAGTTACCAGCTATCAGCATACACAAGTTAGTACTGAGTAAATTACGTCTGTCAACACATTATAAGATACGATACGCACCTGACACAAAGTGCTCCGAGCATATTCTTGCGTGTTTTGAGGGAGTTTCTTGCCTGTTTATCTTCGCAAGCCATAACCTCCGTGGTTGTTCTGACAAAAGCTTAGTCTTCTCACATTCATGAAGTCTAATGATGGGTATACTGTAAAATCCAAGTTTAACGGAACCTCCGGCACGATTTGAACATCCATTGACCCAGCAGGAGATGACCATTTTCAACTTTATCACGACATTAACACGTTTCAGCTTCTTTTACTATTGTTTTGCCCACAGAATGCCAACACAAATGGCGCCGGGTCGGCAAATCCCCGTATGTAGTGACGTCATGTGGGAACTATGTATTGACACTGCCATACTAGACTGGGCCGTTTACATTGCTCTGGGCGGGGGGCTGCTGACGTCAGGTCTTGCTTCAGACGTCAGGTCTTGCTTCAGACGTCAGGTCTTGCTTCAGACGTCAGGTCTTGCTTCAGACGTCAGGTCTTGCTTCAGACGTCAGGTCTTGCTTCAGACGTCAGGTCTTGCTTCAGACGTCAGGTCTTGCTGCTGACGTCAGGTCTTGCTTCAGACGTCAGGTCTTGCTTCAGACGTCAGGTCTTGCTTCAGACGTCAGGTCTTGCTTCAGACGTCAGGTCTTGCTTCAGACGTCAGGTCTTGCTTCAGACGTCAGGTCTTGCTTCAGACGTCAGGTCTTGCTTCAGACGTCAGGTCTTGCTTCAGACGTCAGGTCTTGCTTCAGACGTCAGGTCTTGCTTCAGACGTCAGGTCTTGCTTCAGACGTCAGGTCTTGCTTCAGACGTCAGGTCTTGCTTCAGACGTCAGGTCTTGCTGCCGCGCCAGTGTTGGCGCCAGATTCAAAATTCAAATGTAGTAATACAGGTCGCCAGCAGATGGCGCCTCACAGACGGTTTTAGGCAGAAAGTTTTACTTTCAACTAATTTGCACCAAAGTGACAAAAATATGACCAGGATATGTAGACAACACTATTGGACACTCATTTATACCGTTTATCAGCAAAAAAAAGTGGATTTGAGGGTGAGTTGTCCTTTAAGTTTGTGTAAACTCTGCCGTACAGGGGTTATTCAAAATGAAGGAAGGTCACTCATGCATCATCTGTGCTTCAGTGAGCATCTGAAGCACAGATGATGCTAACTGACGTACAGATGATGCTAACTGTAGCACAGATGATGCTAACTGTAGCACAGATGATGCTAACTGACGTGCAGATGATGCTAACTGAAGCACAGATGATGCTAACTGAAGCACAGATGATGCTAACTGTAGCACAGATGATGCTAACTGACGTGCAGATGATGCTAACTGAAGCACAGATGATGCTAACTGAAGCACAGATGATGCTAACTGAAGCACAGATGATGCTAACTGAAGCACAGATGATGCTAACTGACACACGATGATGCTAACTGATACAGATGATGCTAACTAGCACAGATGATGCTAACTGAAGCACAGAGATGCTAACTGAAGCACAGATGATGCTAACTGAAGCACAGATGATGCTAACTGAAGCACAGATGATGCTAACTGAAGCACAGATGATGCTAACAGCACCCTTTTTTTATATTTTACGATTTAGGAAAGGAAGCAAATGTCAGGTACTTCAGCTGGAACGAAAGAAAACCCGCAGATAGTGGCTTGGAAACATAGCAAATAACGTTAGAAACATGTCAAATAACGTTAGAAACATGTCAAATGACGTTAGAAACATGTCAAATAACGTTAGAAACATGTCAAATAACGTTAGAAACATGTCAAATAACGTTAGAAACATGTCAAATAACGTTAGAAACATGTCAAATAACGTTAGAAACATGTCAAATAACGTTAGAAACATGTCAAATAACGTTAGAAACATGTCAAATAACGTTAGAAACATGTCAAATAACGTTAGAAACATGTCAAATAACGTTAGAAACATGTCAAATAACGTTAGAAACATGTCAAATGACGTTAGAAACATGTCAAATGACCTTAAAAACATGTATAAATCTTGTCGGTGGCCCCCTGCAGGAGGAGTACCGTGCAGAGCAGATTCAGTGGTACCCGATGTCTCTCAAAAACTCCTCCTCGTGTGTGGATCTCATCTCCTCTCGTCCTCATGGCATTCTCCGCATCCTGGACGACCAGACCTGCCTGCCCCAGGTTTGTGGGATCAGTCTGGAGGAAGTAGTTCTCCCAGTAATACCATGTGTTTTTGTTCAGGCTACGGACCACACCTTCCTCCAGAAATGCCACTACCACCACGCCAACAACCCATTCTATGCCAAGCCCAAGAGCCCAATGCCTGTGTTCACGGTCTATCACTATGCCGGGGCTGTGACCTATCAGGTGGGCTCAAAATGGGGGCACACAAAAGTAAAGATACAGCTGGATCAGAGTAATAACTTTAAGGCAAGAGATCCCTGTTGGAGAAATGCAGGTGTCCAGTAGCCCAGCAAGCTCGTTGGACTTAATGCTTTTCAAATCCTCCTTGAATTAAGCAGAAAATCCAGAGATTACTGACAATATTATTAGATAACAATGTATTTAAAGTAGAAATATGTAAGATTTCCATGTCCGGTCATCATTAAAGGGCCCTAATCTGTCATCATTAAAGGGCCCTAATCTGTCATCAGTAAAGGGCCCTAATCCGTCATCAGTAAAGGGCCCTAATCCGTCATCATTAAAGGGCCCTAATCTGTCATCATTAAAGGGCCCTAATCTGTCATCAGTAAAGGGCCCTAATTTGTCATCATTAAAGGGCCCTAATTTGTCATTAAAGGGCCCTAATCTGTCATCAGTAAAGGGCCCTAATTTGTCATCAGTAAAGGGCCCTAATCTGTCATCATTAAAGGGCCCTAATCTGTCATCAGTAAAGGGCCCTAATTTTTCATAATTAAAGGGCCCTAATCCGTCATCATTAAAGGGCCCTAATCTGTCATCATTAAAGGGCCCTTATCTGTCACCATTAAAGGGCCCTAGTCTGTCATCATTAAAGGGCCCTAATCCGTCATCATTAAAGGGCCCTAATCTGTCATCATTAAAGGGCCATTAAAGGATCATCATCATCAGTTTTATTATTATATTTAAAGAATCTTTTTTCCCATTTTGCAAACTTACTGACTCAATCTCAACTCAAACTCAAAAACGTAAACAGTAAAATAAAAACTATAACAATACATTATAATAATATAATATATAGTTCCTCTGCCTCATGTCTCTCTTCGGCAGGTTCAAAACTTCCTGAACAAGAACCACGACCAGTTCCGAACAGAAGTCCTGGAGCTTTTTGCCAAAAGTCGTCTGAATGTAAAGTCTCACATTCCCAGCTGTTGCTTCATGGTCTGTGAGTGACTGACCAGTTTCTGCAGATGGTGTCGGAGCTCTTCAGGAAGGTCCACGAAGGCTACATCCAGCAGAGAGAGCTGGGCTGGAGGGGCAAAGGGCTCCGGCAGCAGCCCACCACCGCCGCCTCACACTTCCTGCAGTCGCTCAGTGAACTCACGCAACGCCTCCAAAGGTTCATTGTTTTATGCGCTAAGTGGTTAGCCTTCTCGTTTCTCAGCAAGGAGGACGTGGGTTCGATTCCCTGTCTGAGTGGAGTTTACATGTTCTTCAGGGTGCTCTGGTTTTCTCTACCTCTAAAACTTGTACAATAGGTGGTCCAGTGTGTTTGCTTCTGTCATCAAGTGTTTTGGGCGACCTTAATTTGTAAAAATGCACTATATAAGTAAAAATGACTTGCTTAAAAACACTTTTTCTTGCATTTCCTCAACTACAAAAAGCCATTGTCAAAGCTGGTTAGTCTGGGTTTGTATGTCTCCTTCCTTGGCAAAGAAAATAATCAACTCTGACCAATTCAGTTTGACCCTTCTCTGTGTTTCAGATGCAAAACCACTTTTATCCGCTGCCTCAAACCAAATTATGTGAAGGTCTGTGATGCAGAATATGCCGTAATTGTCAATGAATAATGCATTTTTTAATTGTGTAGATAACTGGATTTCTAATCTCTAGCTTCCAGGGATTTTTGACTTGAATTACATGTCGGCTCAGCTCAGACACGCCGGGATCTTAGAGACCATCCACATCCGAAAAGAGGGCTTTCCAGTGCGGCTCCTGTACTCCCAGTTCATGCACAGGTACAAGCTCCACCTAACGTGTTCCAGAGTGATCGTGTTCCAGAGTGTTCCAGAGTGATTTTTTTTAGTGATCCAGGAGTGATTCGCGAGTGATTCGAGAGTGATTTGAGAGTGATTCAGGAGTGATTCAGGAGTGATTCAAGAGTGATCCAAGAGTGATCCAAGAGTCATCCAAGAGTGATTCAAGAGTGGTTCAAGAGTGATCCAGGAGTGATTCAAGAGTGATCCAGGAGTGATCCAGGAGTGATCTCGGAGTGATCCCGAAGTGATTCAAGAGTGATTCAAGAGTGATTCGAGAGTGATTCGAGAGTGATTCGAGAGTGATTCGAGAGTGATTCGAGAGTGATTCGAGAGTGATTCAAGAGTGAGCTCAGAGTGAGCTCAGAGTGATTCAGGAGTGATTCGAGAGTGATTCAGGAGTGATTCAGGGGTGATCCCGGAGTGATTCGAGAGTGATTCGAGAGTGATTCGAGAGTGATTTGAGAGTGATTCACGAGTGATTCGAGAGTGATTCGAGAGTGATTTGAGAGTGATTCGAGAGTGAGCTCAGAGTGATCCCGGACTAATCAAATAGTGATTCAAGAGTATTTTTTGTATATTTTTAAACTTTGATTGAATATGGTCGGTGTGATGTTAGCCTGTTTTGTTCACATGTCTTCACACTTTCCACATCTGAGGAACTGGACAAATAGTCATAGTATGAAGATAATTATCATGCGGGTCAATTCCATTCTCAAACTAGTTCAGTGAAACTATGAAAATAATATGAAAATTAAAATAAAAAGATATTGAGCAAAAATATTATTATAGAAAGACATTCAAAAATACAACTAATGCATGGCTCCTGGTCGTGTACAGTGTCAGTTTATGGTAAAGCTGACTTGTATATATTTGTAAACTTGCAGATACGGGGTGCTGCTGAACCTGCGGGACAGCCACGGCTCAGACCGGGACCAGACTGTGGCTCTTCTGGAGTCCAACGAAGCAGAGACAAGACAGTACCAGCTCGGACTAACAAAGGCAAGAACAGAAACTACACACACGCCGTTCAAAGGCTCACTGTGTTCATTTTAAAAACACCAACATGAAGAGGATGAGACTGTTACCAAAGGCTTTGAGGCTTCAGTGCAGATTGTGTTGGATTAAAGTGATCCACGTCCTGGTGTTGTGTGAACGCAGGTGTTCATGAAGGAGCGACTGTGGCAGATGTTGGAGGACAAGTGGAGCAGCACTCAGACTTGGGCTGCGATCATCATTCAGAGAAACATCAGGGGGTTTCTCTGCAGGAGGAACTTCCGCTTCTTCAAACAGAAAGCCATTGTCATCCAGAGCCACATCCGAGGACACCAGGCCAGGTGCAGACTGCTCAGACCACAGCAGGCCTCATGGAGCCGCCCTCAGGCTGGAACTGAACACAGCTGATCTGACACTGCCCCCTGTCTTCTGCAGGAAGCACTACAAGAAGCTGAGGCAGACCATTACTCAGTTCTGGGCCACGATAATGATCACCAGGAACACCATCAAGCAGCAGCACCAGAGGAAGGTTTGAGTGACACACACAGAGCCCGCCCTCCTTCCACCAGACACGCCCACAACACTCAGGTTACTTAGCAACCAGTGTTTGCTCCTTTATTGAGCTATAAACCAGGAACAATATCTCATCATAACTTGAAGACATACAAGAGACAAAATGTCTTTATTCTAATTAAATAAATGTCTTCATTAATAAAGTAATCTCGATGAGAACACTTCAGGGGGTCAGACGTTATTATTATTTGGTTGCAACTTGAGTGTGTAATGTTATTATATATGTTCATCATAATTACATATATTATATATAATACATGTAGTTTTTAAATATACAATATATAATTTATTAAAAACTTTATTGTTCTATGTTTCCATGATTATCTTCATCTTCTTCCTCTGGCCTCTGTCGCTTCTTACTTATAGCGACCTGTAAACAGCTCTTATCTCTCCTGACGCATGCGTCCAGAACACACCTTTCAGTCTTGGACTTCAACCCTTTTAAGTGAAACTTGAAGCAGTGTATCTTCCTTCCACGTCCGGAGCCGCTCTAACCCTCTGGCTCTCTCTGACAGGTAAGCTTCCTGCTCTTCTGTTCTCTCTAGAATTATGGCTTTTATAGGTTTTTGACGGAGTTTAAATTATACAAAGAGGACGGTCAGTGTCAAGTGACCGTCGAGCATTGGTTACTTACTGTAACTCTATCATGCAAGACATGGGAGAGAAATACATGTAGAAATACATTAACTCACACATAGATGTAAGAATACAGTGTATTTAAGGTGGATTTAAGGTGGATTTAAGGTAGATATGAAGCGACGCGCCTCAATCCTTTTCCTTTTACAGTTGATAGAAAACAACATGAACTCCAGGTGCTTTTGTTTTGGTTCTATTGACCAGGAGCAATCCTTCATTTCTCCCACAGTGCATTCATTTGACAGAAACAGCAGAAATATTGAAAGCACTTAAAGACAAGACAAATACTTATTAAACGATTATACTTTTCAGAATGCAGTATTATGACGTAGTATTTTATGACGGAACATTGGATATAACAACACAGGCGTAAAACACATTTGAGATGATACGGACTGAGATGACTGCTGTAAAGTGTGTGATAAAGGAGAGCCATGGACTTTTGGAGCCATAAAGGGGGGGGGGTGGATCCTGCTTTGGGCGTGGAGTATTTAACTCTAGTTCTTCTGAGAATAACTCTGATCTGGACAAACTAAATCACCAGCGGATTTTACAGTCGACTGAAGAGCGACTGGTGATTGGCTTCATCTGTGTTTTCAGGATCTCCATGAGACGAGAGAGTCAAAGGTGGTGACCAAGGCAAAGTCTCTCCTCCCGAGTATGGTACGACCCCAATGTTTGAGAATGGATACAAATATGTAACAACTGTATTTTGTCTCAATATGTGACAATAAAGGTTTGAAAAAATAAAATAAAATCACCCTTGAGGAAAAAGAAAAGAAAAATCACAAAATCAAACTGAAAATTCTTCTTGTTATTCTGTTTTTTTTTTTTATTTTAAGTTGGAGTTTTTGTCCTAGTTTAGCCACAGGTGCAACTTATGTCATTTTATATTTTATTTACCGCACAATATCAAACAGCTCAGGCTTTTAAGATGAGCTGATTCTTTGTTAAACTTGACAATCAGTTTTATGCAGACGTTTTTTGACTCTTTCTGTGATATTTGACATTAACAAAGTTCTTATGCCTCGGATAACGTCTGTTCTTCTCTATTCTATTTTTATTGTGTGCAGGATGTGGGGCTGTTGGAGATCCCCGCGGAGCTCTCTGCCAGACTCCAGGCCGGAGCAGGTCCATTTTATTATTATTTATTTGAACATTGTGTCAAACTTTACATATTTTTAAAAACCCACAAATATGGAATTATCATTATGTACAAACCACAGCTACATTATCCCCACATTTTAGTCATATCTCTCTCTCTCTCTCTCTCTCTGTCTCACTCTCTTTCTCTCTCTGTCTCTCTCACTGTCTCTCTCTCTCTGTCTCTCTCACTGTCTCTCTCTCTCTGTCTCTCTCACTGTCTCTCTCTGTCTCTCTCTCTCTCTCTGTCTCTCTCTCTCTGTCTCTCTCACTGTCTCTCTCTCTCTCTCTCTCTCTCTCTCTCTCTCTCTCTCTCTCTCTCTCTCTCTGTCTCTCCCTGTCTCTCTCTCTCTCTCTGTCTCTCTCTGTCTCTGTCTTACTCTCTCTCTGTCTCTCTCTCTGTCTCTCTCACTGTCTCTCTCTCTCTCTCTCTCTCTCTCTCTCTCTCTCTCTCTCTCTCTCTCTCTCTCTCTCTCTCTCTTCTCTCTCTCTCTCTCTCTCTCTCTCTCTCTCTCTCTCTCTCTCTCTCTCTCTCTCTCTCTCTCTCTCTCTCTCTCTCTCTCTCTCTCTCTCACAGTTTACATAGTCATGTTCAAGACTGTTTAGATTTCTCATTTTGTAGCTGTACCTTACTCATCTGTATGTTAATATGTATCTTGGTCATCTTGCACTTTTATTTAGATGTTTTTTTAGTAACCTGCTCTTTTAATTTGAACTTTTTATTCAAATTCACAGTTCAAATTAAAAAAGTGCAGTTTACAATAAAAGTGCAATATGACCAAGATAGCAATAATTAATTTGAACTGTATATTATATTGGGGCGACAGTAGCTCAGTTGGTGGAGCATTGGCCTTTGGGGACCCACAGGACCCACTCCAACTGCTCCCGCTGATGTCTGCTGTCGCTGTGTCCTTGGGCAAGACACTTCACCCCACATTGCCCGAAAATGAATGAATGAATGTATATTATTATTATAGTTTTATGATTGTATTGTGAGGACCACGGGTGGAAAGAATCTGCTGCTGATTCTTTTCAAAGCAACTGCACATTGTCCTCTAATAAGTCAAACTTCAAACCATCAAAGGCGACATTCACATCTCTCAGTTTATAAATCTTACAAGTGCTTCTGTGTCTGCAACAGGGCGGCCCCAGGGGTCAGAGGTCATCGCTGTGAACTCTCCACAAGTTCGCTCTGAACACAAGATCAGCCTCCCGCCGGACATTGACCGATATCCATTCTCTCGATACGCCAAGACCTTATTAAAGGTGAGAATACTGAATTTCTCCTACGGGAGGGGTTCATAAAGTATTGATCTATATATCTGTCCATCTATCCATCTGTCTATCTATCTATCTATATATCTGTCTATCTATCTGTCTGTCTATCTGTCTATCTGTCTGTCTATCAGTCTATCTATATATCCATCTGTCTATCTATCTATCTATATATCTGTCTATCTATCCATCTGTCTATCTATCTATCTATCTGTCTATATCTGTCTGTCTATCAGTCTATCTATCTATATATCTGTCTATCTATCCATCTGTCTATCAGTCTGTCTGTCTATCTATCTATATATCTGTCTATCTATCCATCTGTCTATCAGTCTATCTATCTGTCTATCTATCTATATATCTGTCTATCTATCCATCTGTCTATCTATCTATCTATATATCTGTCTATCTATCCATCTGTCTATCTATCCATCTGTCTATCTATCTATCTGTCTATCTATCTGTCTGTCTATCAGTCTATCTATCTATCTATCTGTCAATCTATCTATCTGTCTGTCTATCTATCTATCTATCTATCTATCTATCTATCTATCTATCTATCTATCTATCTATCTATCTATCTATCTATCTATCTATCTATCTATCTATCTATCTATCTATCTATCTATCTATCTATCTATCTATCTATCTATCTATCTATCTATCTATCTATCTATCTATCTATCTATCTATCTATCTATCTATCTATCTATCTATCTATCTATCTATCTATCTATCTATCTATCTATCTATCTATCTATCTATCTATCTATCTATCTATCTATCTATCTATCTATCTATCTATCTATCTATCTATCTATCTATCTATCTATCTATCAGTCTGTATATCTGTCTGTCTGTCTGTCTGTGTCTTTCTTTATTTGCACTTTCAATCCAGAATGACTGATTTGGTTCCATTTCCGCTGTGATCATTGAACAGTGTTTATGACAGAACATTGTTTACATCGTCACATTCAAGACTGTGTAGATTTCTCATTTTCCTTCCTCGTTGTGACTGAATCTCACTCACTGTAACGTAGAATATAATTTGACAAGTTAAAGGGACAGTCTGTGCTCTTAGAGGTCTACTAAAGTCATTACAGTTATAATGGTCAATTCAGGAAAGAACCGCTCTCTCTACTGTTTGAACAAAACTCTCTAATCCTATTGGACGAGCATGTATCACCAGAATGATTGACAGCTGGGAGGACCAATTGTCTTGATGATCTTCCCTGAAGTAGAGAATCCTCCAATATACCTTTAACACTAGGAGCGCCGCTAGCGGTCAACTGACCGTCAGTCACTTTAATATGCTAATTAGTGTATTCAAAACAAAACGCCAGAAGTTGAAATTTTATGACTTTTATTAGGTACTTGTTGTTTATGTTTTGATGTGTTTTGGTTTTGGAAAAAATAAAGAAAACAAGATTTACACGCATTTTTAATTTTGTAAACCACAGCCCTTTCTGCTGCCCCATAGGGATACATGGCGCAGGGGCGACTATTGTCATAGTAACCATTTCCCGGGGGTTTTTCGCGCCTTATAAAAATGTATCAAAATATGTTGTCATTAGACTATAAAGGGGATTGAGTTTGGGAGAGAGAAAGAGAGGAAGAAGAAGCCATTTTATCAATACTTTTGAATTGAGAGGATCAAAAATGAAAAGAGCTGCCAAGTACACGGTAGATGAAGCCCTAGCAATGCTTCAAGACATTGATGAAGAACTGTCTGACGGAGGTGAGATGTCTGATTTTGAAGTGGAGAGTGACAGCGGTGAGAACACCGACTCAGAGCCCGACACAGCGCTCCCTCCTCCCGCAAAGAGAAGGTTGACGCCTCCTTCAGGCACCGCCTTGACGGCAGGTAAATATACATTATTTGTTCTATTCTCCAATTTAGACCAATTTTTAGGACATTTGCCAAATATTTGTGTGTTTGATTGGCTAAGGAATAACCAAGAAATGTCCTTGCTGTTGTTTTCCAAATTAGCATGCTAGCAGCGCGGCTTGAATAGAATATATCCTAAAGAATAGATTAGTAGGCATATACCCGCTGATTCAATGTATTGTAGCCTATATTTTGTGTATATATATATATATATATATATATATATATATATATATATATATATATATATATATATATAATATATTATAATATATATTATATATATATATAATATATATATATATATATATATATATATTATATATATATATTATATATATATACACGGGACTGCTGAAGCGCGTCGCTCACCTCTCCATCCCTGAGCTCAAAGCTTTCATCGCGCTTTTATATGTTAGGGGAAGGTTCAACAAGAACGTCGCTTTTGGTCAGGTGATTGGGGGCTTATTTTGTGCAAACATTATTGTATAATGAAAAAGGCAAGATAGTCTTTTACCATTTTTTATTGTACATAATATATCCTGCATTTAACATGTTTGCACAATCTGAGTGTTTATCCATGCCAAATGTGACATGTTAATTTCTCCTTGTGAGATAAATACAGACTATCTTATCTTACAGGACGCGCTGCAGCAGCAAGAGGTGAGCACAGACGGGCAGCGGATACGGCTGGTAGGCACATGCAAATAGACAAGATTTACCCAATAATTTTCACATGGCAGGCCTGTAAATGTGTTTATTTTTTCTTCCAGTGCGCAGACAGGACGTTGGGGACCAAGTCTGGATAGGAGCACCTGCTCCAGAATCAGGTATAGGCCTGTAGCCTAATACGCAGCGCATAAGGCAAGCTGCAATCAATGCCATTGCATTTGTCAGACTGTTTGTCCTAATTTTAATATTTGGTCCAATGCCGCATAGGTCCTGAAGAGATGGGGAAAGACGGGAGCGTGTGGCTGTCTGTGCCACTAGGCACAGGGCGCGGAAGAAGGCCATCTCAAAATATTTTGAGGGAAATTGCAGGCCCTACTGCATTTGCAAGGCATGGGATCCACGACCTGGAGAGTGCTTTCCTGTGCTTGATGGATCCCCTGCTCCTCCAGCACATACGGGACTGCACCGTGGCTGAAGCGCGTCGCTCTGGGATACAGTGGGACCTCTCCATCCCTGAGCTCAAAGCTTTCATCGCGCTTTTATACGTCAGGGGAAGCTTCAATAAAAATCTGGAGATGGAGAGCTTGTGGTCAGATGAGTGGGGGCTTCCATTTTTCAGAAGCACAATGCCTCGCAGGAGATATAGACAGATAATGCGTTTCCTTCGCTTTGACCGCAGAGAGGAGAGGCAGGCCCGACTCGCAAGTGATAAGTTTGCCCTCATAACGGACGTGTGGAGGGATTTCGTCACCAACTCTATCCGGTGCTACAGGCCAGGAGAAAATGTTACGGTGGATGAGCAGCTATACCCAACAAAAGCACGCTGCCGTTTCACTCAGTATATGGCCAATAAACCCGATAAATTCGGCATAAAATTTTGGATGGCGGCAGACGTTGATTCCAAATATTTTCTCAATGGGATCCCTTATCTTGGGAAAGATGCAGCGCGGCCTGCTGGGCAGCGCTTGGGGGAGAGAGTAGTGCTCAACCTCATGGAGCCATTCATGGACAAAGGCAGGAATGTCACCACTGACAATTTCTTCACCTCGTTATCCCTAGCCAAATGCCTGCTGGCGAGAAACACCAGCCTCGTCGGGACCATGAATGCTGCGCGCAGAGAACTCCCACCTTCAGCGAAACAGCGCGCAGAGCTCCACAGCACCAAGGTGCTGAAGCATGAGCGTGCCACTCTCACTCTGTACCAGGCAAAGAGGAAGAAGAGTGTCTCCATCCTGAGTACTCTCCACCAGACGGTCCTTACAGGCACAGAGGGGAAGAGGAAGCCTGAGACCATCACCTTTTATAATACCACAAAGGTAATTCTGCTTTTTAGCATGCACTGCATGCAGCCTCCCATCACGTTGTGTTCTTGTCACAGGTTGGTGTAGACTCGCTGGACCAGATGGCTCGCCTCTATTCAACAAAAGGTGCGACAAGGAGGTGGCCCGTGGCAGTTTTCTGCAACATCCTGGATTTGGCTGCAATAAACGCATGGGTCCTATACAGGCAGTGTACAGGGGCAAACATTGCGAGGCGCGCCTTCATCCTCGAGCTGGGCCAAAGAGCTGCGCAGGGAGCACATGCTAGCAAAAGCCGCCCCCCCTGCAACAGTGCAGAGACCGCTTCTCCCGCTTCCCTATGTTCCCCACCCACAGGTGCCAGAGAGGAGACGGCAGTGCCAGATCAATGCCCACTGCAAGCAGAATAAAACCACCGTGGTCTGCAGTGGGTGCAAGCGGCCTGTATGTGGCAAATGTGTGGTCCAATTAGAACCTCGTTGCCTGAAGTGTGTGTAGACTTTGTATATAATGTAAATAGCCTCTATGTTTTATCAATATTAATGTTCTATTTTGTATGTTTTGTTTTCAATCAGTTCTGCGCCGTTATAACCACTTTTGGTTGCGCACATTTTCTGTAATTTGTTTTATAATCAGTTCGAGCATGTTTGCATTTACATTCTTATATTTATACATAGATGAAGGCAATAAAGCAGAATACAATATCGCAATAAAATAGAACAATTAGATGAACTATCAAGGCAGAGTGCAGATAGAGCGCTGTGAGGCCTCTCGTCACCCGCGGACACCTGCAGGAGGAGAGGGACTGTGGCAGAAGCGGCCCTGATCATATCAATAAGGATCTCATTCTTATTTCATTCAGATAACACTGTGTGTTATTCTGCACAGCGTGCACTTCAAGGCATTGATTATAATTTTGTTCTGATCATAAAGAGCACTGCTTGTCTCAAATAAATCTATTTGTCTTTCTAACGTGTCCCGTGTAAAATTGAAGATTGTACATTGACGATGGTAGCCAAGCTGATGATCTTGTGTCAATACGAATACTGTTATTATTATCTAGATAATATTTCCCACGGTGATTTCGGCTGGAAAGAGAAAACAGTCTGGAGATGACGTAAGAAGTAGACGCATATAGCAGCGCGAAGACGTTATGGTCCCGTGCTTTTCTAAACTATCATTTATATTGTTTGAATTTACATATTGTTACTGAGTCAAATTTAACATATAGTGACCAACCTTTTAGGTGTTTGCAAAGTTACAAAATAAATCTACCCTGAAAAGTCATCGTAATTTTGATGGATCAGTACACGCACAATGTGTCGTCTTAGCCTTTTATTTCGGCTAGAATTACAATTACTTAGCATATTTAGACAAATAATTTACACAGTTTCATTATGATCACGATTTCCTTGCAACAACAAGTTCTGGTTTAGTGAACAATCAATTTGGCAAAAGGCTGTATCAGCGCAAAATACATAGCGGTCAACTGACCGCAGGGGGCGGTACAAGGTATGTTTAGAGCACGGCGGTCCTAGTGTTAAGTAACAAGGTAAACAGTAGCTACCCTTGTGTTCTGTCTAGGCCTGGTGTGTTCTGCTTTCTAATGTGAGTTAACACAGACTAATGTGAGTTAACACAGACTAATGTGAGTTAACACAGACTGATGTGAGTTAACACAGACTGATGTGAGTTAACACAGACTAATGTGAGTTAACACAGACTGATGTGAGTTAACACAGACTAATGTGAGTTAACACAGACTAATGTGAGTTAACACAGACTAATGTGAGTTAACACAGACTGATGTGAGTTAACACAGACTAATGTGAGTTAACACAGACTGATGTGAGTTAACACAGACTGATGTGAGTTAACACAGACTAATGTGAGTTAACACAGACTAATGTGAGTTAACACAGACTAATGTGAGTTAACACAGACTAATGTGAGTTAACACAGACTGATGTGAGTTAACACAGACTGATGTGAGTTAACACAGACTGATGTGAGTTAACACAGAATGATGTGAGTTAACACAGACTGATGTGAGTTAACACAGACTGATGTGAGTTAACACAGACTAATGTGAGTTAACACAGACTAATGTGAGTTAACACAGACTGATGTGAGTTAACACAGACTAATGTGAGTTAACACAGACTAATGTGAGTTAACACAGACTAATGTGAGTTAACACAGACTGATGTGAGTTAACACAGACTGATGTGAGTTAACACAGACTAATGTTAGTTAACACAGACTAATGTGAGTTAACACAGACTAATGTGAGTTAACACAGACTGATGTGAGTTAACACAGACTAAATCAACATCTGACCATTTCTCCTGGTGTTGTGCCTCTGACAGGACACATGGTGCCAGCCCCAGGGCCTCCCACTGCAGAAGCCCCTCACCCCCCAGGACCCAGACGATGCCAGACGAGCCCTGGATCTGAACAAACTGGTACAGAGGCCGGTCCAAAACCATCATTCACTCTGATCCTGTGTCTTCACTCAGTCTGGTCCTCTGTCTTCATGGTCCTCTGTCACTCTGGTCCTCTGTCTTCATGGTCCTCTGTCACTCTGGTCCACTGTCTTCACTTACTCTGGTCCTCTGTCTCCATGGTCCTCTGTCTTCACTCACTCTGGTCCTCTGTCTTCATTCACTCTGGTCCTCTGTCTTCATGGTCATCTGTCACTCTGGTCCTCTGTCTTCATGGTCCTCTGTCTCCATGGTCCTCTGTCTCCATGGTCCTCTGTCTCCATGGTCCTCTGTCTCCATGGTCCTCTGTCTTCATGGTCCTCTGTCTCCATGGTCCTCTTTCTTCATGGTCCTCTGTCTCCATGGTCCTCTGTCACTCTGGTCCTCTGTCTTCATGGTCCTCTGTCACTCTGGTCCTCTGTCGTCATGGTCCTCTGTCTCCATGATCCTCTGTCTTCATTCACTCTGGTCCTCTGTCTTCATGGTCCTCTGTCTCCATGGTCCTCTGTCTTAATTTACTCTGGTCCTATGTCTCCATGGTCCTCTGTCTTCACTCACTCTGGTCCTCTGTCTTCATGGTCCTCTGTCTCCATGGTCCTCTGTCTTCACTCACTCTGGTCCTCTGTCTCCATGGTCCTCTGTCTTCATGGTCCTCTGTCTCCATGGTCCTCTGTCTTCATGGTCCTCTGTCTCCATGGTCCTCTGTCTCCATGGTCCTCTGTCTCCATGGTCCTCTGTACTCATTCACTCTGGTCCTCTGTCTCCATGGTCCTCTGTCTCCATGGTCCTCTGTCTCCATGGTCCTCTGTCTCCATGGTCCTCTGTCTCCATGGTCCTCTGTCTCCATGGTCCTCTGTCTTCATGGTCCTCTGTCTCCATGGTCCTCTGTACTCATTCACTCTGGTCCTCTGTCTTCATGGTCCTCTGTCTTCATGGTCCTCTGTCTCCATGGTCCTCTGTACTCATTCACTCTGGTCCTCTGTCTTCATGGTCCTCTGTACTCATTCACTCTGGTCCTCTGTCTCCATGGTCCTCTGTCTTCATGGTCCTCTGTCTCCATGGTCCTCTGTCTTCATGGTCCTCTGTCTCCATGGTCCTCTATCTCCATGGTCCTCCGTCTCCATGGTCCTCTGTCTCCATGGTCCTCTGTCTCCATGGTCCTCTGTCTCCATGCTCCTCTGTCTCCATGCTCCTCTGTCTCCATGGTCCTCTGTCTCCATGGTCCTCTGTCTCCATGGTCCTCTGTACTCATTCACTCTGGTCCTCTGTCTCCATGGTCCTCTGTCTCCATGGTCCTCTGTCTTCATGGTCCTCTGTCTTCATGGTCCTCTGTCTCCATGGTCCTCTGTCTCATGGTCCTCTGTCTCCATGGTCCTCTGTCTCCATGGTCCTCTGTCTCCATGGTCCTCTCTCCATGGTCCTCTGTCTCCATGGTCCTCTGTCTCCATGGTCCTCTGTCTCCATGGTCCTCTGTCTCCATGGTCCTCTGTCTCTCATGGTCCTCTGTCTCCATGGTCCTCTGTCTCCATGGTCCTCTGTCTCCATGGTCCTCTGTCTCCATGGTCCTCTCCATGCCTCTGATGCTCCTCTGTCTCCATGGTCCTCTGTCTCCATGGTCCTCTGTCTCCATGGTCCTCTGTCTCCATGGTCCTCTGTCTCCAGGCCTCTGTCTCATGCCTCTGGTCCTCTGTCTCATGGTCCTCTGTCTCCATGGTCCTCTGTCTCCATGGTCCTCTGTCTCCATGGTCCTCTCCTCTCAGGTGTCCTGGTCCTCTGTCTCCATGGTCCGTTCTCTCCTATGCCTCTCATGGTCCTCTGTCTTCGCTCATGGTCCTCTGTCTTCATGGTCCTCTGTCTTCATGGTCCTCTGTCTCCATGGTCCTCTCTCTCCATGGTCCTCTCCTAATGCCTCTGATGGTGCCGTTCCCAAGCCCCGTTCTCTCATAATGCCTCTGATGGTCCTCTGTCTCCATGGTCCTCTGTCTCCATGGTCCTCTCCTAATGCCTCTGATGGTGCCGTTCCCAAGCCCCGTTCTCTCATAATGCCTCTGATGGTCCTCTGTCTCCATGGTCCTCTGTCTTCATGGTCCTCTGTCTCCATGGTCCTCTGTCTCCATGGTCCTCTCCTAATGCCTCTGATGGTGCCGTTCCCAAGCCCCGTTCTCTCCTAATGCCTCTGATGGTCCTCTGTCTTCATGGTCCTCTGTCTTCATGGTCCTCTGTCTCCATGGTCCTCTGTCTCCATGGTCCTCTCCTAATGCCTTTGATGGTGCCGTTCCCAAGCCCCGTTCTCTCCTAATGCCTCTGATGGTCCTCTGTCTTCATGGTCCTCTGTCTTCATGGTCCTCTGTCTCCATGGTCCTCTGTCTCCATGGTCCTCTGTCTCCGTGGTCCTCTCCTAATGCCTCTGATGGTCCTCTGTCTCCATGGTCCTCTGTCTCCATGGTCCTCTCCTAATGCCTCTGATGGTGCCGTTCCCAAGCCCCGTTCTCTCCTAATGCCTCTGATGGTCCTCTGTCTTCATGGTCCTCTGTCTTCATGGTCCTCTGTCTCCATGGTCCTCTGTCTCCATGGTCCTCTCCTAATGCCTCTGATGGTGCCGTTCCCAAGCCCCGTTCTCTCCTAATGCCTCTGATGGTCCTCTGTCTTCATGGTCCTCTGTCTTCATGGTCCTCTGTCTCCATGGTCCTCTGTCTCCATGGTCCTCTGTCTCCGTGGTCCTCTCCTAATGCCTCTGATGGTCCTCTGTCTTCATGGTCCTCTGTCTCCATGGTCCTCTCCTAATGCCTCTGATGGTGCCGTTCCCAAGCCCCGTTCTCTCCTAATGCCTCTGATGGTCCTCTGTCTTCATGGTCCTCTGTCTTCATGGTCCTCTGTCTCCATGGTCCTCTGTCTCCATGGTCCTCTCCTAATGCCTCTGATGGTCCTCTGTCTTCATGGTCCTCTGTGTCCATGGTCCTCTGTCTCCATGGTCCTCTCCTAATGCCTCTGATGGTGCCGTTCCCAAGCCCCGTTCTCTCCTAATGCCTCTGATGGTCCTCTGTCTTCATGGTCGTCTGTCTCCATGGTCCTCTGTCTCCATGGTCCTCTGTCTCCATGGTCCTCTCCTAATGCCTCTGATGGTGCCGTTCCCAAGCCCCGTTCTCTCCTAATGCCTCTGATGGTCCTCTGTCTTCATGGTCCTCTGTCTCATGTCTCCATGGTCCTCTGTCTCCATGGTCCTCTGTCTCCATGGTCCTCTGTCTCTTCATGGTGGTCCTCTCATGGTCTCCATGGTCCTCTCCTAATGCCTCAGATGGTGCCGTTCCCAAGCCCCGTTCTCTCCTAATGCCTCTGATGGTCCTCTGTCTCATGGTCCTCTGTCTTCCATGGTCCTCTGTCTCCATGGTCCTCTGTCTCCATGGTCCTCTCCTAATGCCTTGATGGTGCCGTTCCCAAGCCCCGTTCTCTCCTAATGCCTCTGATGGTCCTCTGTCTTCATGGTCCTCTGTCTTCATGGTCCTCTGTCTCCATGGTCCTCTGTCTCCATGGTCCTCTGTCTCCGTGGTCCTCTCCTAATGCCTCTGATGGTCCTCTGTCTCCATGGTCCTCTGTCTCCATGGTCCTCTCCTAATGCCTCTGATGGTGCCGTTCCCAAGCCCCGTTCTCTCCTAATGCCTCTGATGGTCCTCTGTCTTCATGGTCCTCTGTCTTCATGGTCCTCTGTCTCCATGGTCCTCTGTCTCCATGGTCCTCTCCTAATGCCTCTGATGGTGCCGTTCCCAAGCCCCGTTCTCTCCTAATGCCTCTGATGGTCCTCTGTCTTCATGGTCCTCTGTCTTCATGGTCCTCTGTCTCCATGGTCCTCTGTCTCCATGGTCCTCTGTCTCCGTGGTCCTCTCCTAATGCCTCTGATGGTCCTCTGTCTCCATGGTCCTCTGTCTCCATGGTCCTCTCCTAATGCCTCTGATGGTGCCGTTCCCAAGCCCCGTTCTCTCATAATGCCTCTGATGGTCCTCTGTCTTCATGGTCCTCTGTCTCCATGGTCCTCTGTCTCCATGGTCCTCTGTCTCCATGGTCCTCTCCTAATGCCTCTGATGGTCCTCTGTCTTCATGGTCCTCTGTGTCCATGGTCCTCTGTCTCCATGGTCCTCTCCTAATGCCTCTGATGGTGCCGTTCCCAAGCCCCGTTCTCTCCTAATGCCTCTGATGGTCCTCTGTCTTCATGGTCGTCTGTCTCCATGGTCCTCTGTCTCCATGGTCCTCTGTCTCCATGGTCCTCTCCTAATGCCTCTGATGGTGCCGTTCCCAAGCCCCGTTCTCTCATAATGCCTCTGATGGTCCTCTGTCTTCATGGTCCTCTGTCTTCATGGTCCTCTGTCTTCATGGTCCTCTGTCTCCATGGTCCTCTCTCTCCATGGTCCTCTCCTAATGCCTCTGATGGTGCCGTTCCCAAGCCCCGTTCTCTCATAATGCCTCTGATGGTCCTCTGTCTCCATGGTCCTCTGTCTCCATGGTCCTCTCCTAATGCCTCTGATGGTGCCGTTCCCAAGCCCCGTTCTCTCATAATGCCTCTGATGGTCCTCTGTCTTCATGGTCCTCTGTCTTCATGGTCCTCTGTCTTCATGGTCCTCTGTCTCCATGGTCCTCTCTCTCCATGGTCCTCTCCTAATGCCTCTGATGGTGCCGTTCCCAAGCCCCGTTCTCTCATAATGCCTCTGATGGTCCTCTGTCTCCATGGTCCTCTGTCTCCATGGTCCTCTCCTAATGCCTCTGATGGTGCCGTTCCCAAGCCCCGTTCTCTCCTAATGCCTCTGATGGTCCTCTGTCTCCATGGTCCTCTGTCTTCATGGTCCTCTGTCTCCATGGTCCTCTGTCTCCATGGTCCTCTCCTAATGCCTCTGATGGTGCCGTTCCCAAGCCCCGTTCTCTCATAATGCCTCTGATGGTCCTCTGTCTCCATGGTCCTCTGTCTTCATGGTCCTCTGTCTCCATGGTCCTCTGTCTCCATGGTCCTCTCCTAATGCCTCTGATGGTGCCGTTCCCAAGCCCCGTTCTCTCCTAATGCCTCTGATGGTCCTCTGTCTTCATGGTCCTCTGTCTTCATGGTCCTCTGTCTCCATGGTCCTCTGTCTCCATGGTCCTCTCCTAATGCCTCTGATGGTGCTGTGTGTGGGTCAGGGGCGTGACGGAGGCGCTGCAGGGCTGGTCCGTCTCCCTCTTCGCTGATGAAAGCTGGACCGATCT